ACATTGCTTTCCTTTCTATTCCTTCTCTGAAAGCTACAGTGCGATCTCCAACATGGAACCAAGCGCTTAAACACCATTGCAATTTTAAAACAGACTTAAAAGGAGCATTTGTGTTTAGATGTCAAACAGTATTTATCTGATTTTTGACAAACACAGTTTTGGGTAATATAAACAAATAATATCAGGAAATATCAATCTAGGTATTATTTGCCAAACAATCTGACGCAAAATATAAAATCAGTGCATTAAAACAACAAAAGGTACACCAATTATATATACAAGATAACTTGGTAGGAAAATAATATTTAAATAGGAAATTAATTCAGGTGAACTAGTGATGGTGGAGAATATGTCCTTGTTTTTGCGTTTCATACTATCCGTTTTCATATTGCAAATTGGTCGAAAGGGAGAACACGGAAGAAAAAGCAAAGAAAAAAGATGTTTACTCAAGAATGAATATCCATCAGATTTAGAATTTTAGAGCATGCAACTAAAACAATTACCTCAACACAGTATGATAGAAAAACATCTTAAAATAGATAGGACATGGTGTTATAATGCTTGACAAAATAAAATTAAGCACACTTGAATAGTGCTTTTATTGCTGTTCATCAACTTAAAATAGTAATGAGACCTTCAACAATATAGAGTCGCTCAAACAGCACTGCAAGTTCCAGACGACAATCATGATACAAATTAGATTAGCAGCACGATATGAGCCACATATGGCGTAGGATCTGCTTACCCTTTCGGATCACCTGGGATCACCTCTGGTTTTTGGTGGAGTTCGGGTTGCTCAGTCTTATGTTTTCTATGTTGTGTTTTGTATACTTTTGTTTGTCTGTCAACCTTTTCTTTTTATACCATAGCGTTGTCAGTTTATTTTTGACTTATGAGTTTAAATGTCCCTTTGGTACCCTTCGGCTTCCTTTAAGATAACATTCCAAACCAAATGCAAAAATAGGGAAGACATTTTGAACCAAATACATAAAAAGTTCGATAAACAAACCGAACGAATGAGGAGGAAAAGCAATATATAAAGAGAATGATGGGAATTATCTAAACTATTGAACAGTATAACATATCACATTGACCTCTAAAACATTCGAAAATATATCGTTGCTTTAAATTACCAAACCTGACAGATACTATACTATGTCAGCCCAACTACAAAACCAGCCACAACATTTAAAGTGTAACATACAGTCTTCCAAAATATACAGGTTTCTTTACAATATGTCAAGCTCATATTGATCAACGTGTTTGAATGCTGGATATATCGAAATAAACTGACAGACAATCAAAGGTCTGCTATCAGCATTAAATTCTTCAAATAACATAAAAAATATAATCACTGTTTGCAAAGGTTAGTCTCACTTATATTTCTTCCTTAACAAACCTTTTCTGATCTGTATGAATAATTTTGGATAATACTTTTTTTTACCTTTCAGATAAAATCTTTGCAATAATTTTATAATCACAATTTAGTAGAGTAAGCAGTCTCCATTTTTTAAAGATTTTTCCTTTTTCCTCCAGTATGCAGTAATGATAAGATCCCTTATGTTGAGAATCACTCAATAAAATATCATTAAAGATTTCTCGTAGTAAAGTGAATTAATCGTCTTTTATTATGTCTCAGTATAAAAATATAAAATTCCTAAATTTTATTTTCTATTTCAATGATTTTGTTATATGATGTATTTTATTCATTCGGTTGAAGTTTTAGTTTCTCCAGTTGTTTTTGTAATATATGATATATTTTCGCTTTGATAAACGGTTTTGGTTTTGACTAATTTCCATAGTCAAAAATCAAATTTTTGATTTTGTTACATTTCTACTCTTGAATTCTATTAAATCGGTCTTTACAGGTTACCCAATTCTCCCAATATGTTGTAAATGCATTTGACAATTCATTTGTCTTACTGGTATTTAGATTCATGATCATCTAAATTCCTGGTCCTCTAAACTTTTTTTACGTAACTATGTCATTATCACTAAAAGGAAATAAGAATATACGCGTATTTGAAAGTTTGTACAAAAATATTCTCTATTCTTGATTTTGAAATACATCTTTGAAACTATAACGTTGATTTGTTGGAAAATAAGTCAAATTTTAAGGAAAGACGTTTTAGTTCCTTTATCCTTTAACCAGTATCATCATTTTGGTGCGAAGGGGTCCTATCTAGTTTTCTGTCTAACACACAATATCTCCTGAAAATATATCATAATGTTGTGTGCTATCATCTGCATACAATTTATTTAATTTTGCAGGTTTTTTCTGTCTGGACCATTATCCGGGTGTACACATTAATTGTATTAATTATATACAACAGCGTTAGTTTTAATTTCATCAATTTGTATTCTACCGTTAGTATCACCCATTGGGATATCGACATCGTGTGTATTATCGTTTCTTTAGAGCATCCCTACACCTCTCGAATCGTTTGTACCATAATTTCAGAAATTTCCATCCCCCCCCCCCCCCCCCCCCCCATTTTCTTTCCATTCCCATTTCCAAAGCCCCGCTTTGAATTAATTTAGAATAGGTATTATACCTGTATTTCATTTTTTTTTTCAAAATCCTAACAAAAAAGACTTTTCTAAACAACAAATTTAACAACAATATTGTATTAACATAAATGTTGATACCAGTAAACAATTTGCAATGACCTATACCTTACCTATATATAAGTTTTCTTTAAAATTCTAGAACAATTTTTTTTCCCCTTAAAATTTAAGATTATGTAATTTAAATTAATTGGACAATTTTCACCAAAATAAATTATGCATTTATAACATCCTAATTTCCCAGTGTATAATAACTAGTATGTTAATTCCTATCACGCAAAGTTCCCTCCAGTTTCACAATTACATGAAACAAACATATTATTAGTAAGCTCGTTGTACATTGATAAGCCCGTAATTACTTTATGTATTAATCACACTAAATCTGTGTGTATATCATCCAACTAAACATTCGTTCATACAATTTAATACACCTATATTTCAAAAGATTTACATAGGTTGAATTAAACCTTAAATCATACTTAAATTCATTATCGACTAAATATTCTTTTAAATACATTCAACGAGACAAATCAATGGATGAACGATATACCTTTGTTGGGGATCAACAGAGGACCATTCAAATGCATACAAAAAAACAACAATAGAATTACCGAGTTGTTTTCGTTTTACAGGTTGCATGCCTCAGATTATAAACTTTTGATTATTATAAAAAATAAAATAGCTAAGAGGACGGTCATTAGTTTTGATGGGGAAAAGGGGGAGGGGTGGGGTGGGGGGGAGGGGGTAGGAGGAATTGCTTTTCACTTTCGTTCAAGATTTTATTCCTGCATTTCGTGTTCTGATTTTGAACGTATTATTCATTTTCACACGTTTTTTGGCAAATCTTGTTTCCAGCTGTTATCAGGATATGATATCCATTTGCAAAATCATCCTGCCCCCCCCCCCCCCCACCCCCCCACCCTCCCCCCCCCCCCCCCAAAAAAATGAAATAATCAATGACAATTTCTTGGAAAAACAAAACCTTATGCATAAATCAGTAAATAAATATGCTGTCGAAGAAACGATTTAAACATTTATCCGAATCTAATGCTTACAGAAATTAAAAACAGATAAACACAATAACAGTTCCTTAAATTTAAAAATAAATAAAGGGATATGTGCTGTTAAATGAACGTTGAGAGTTTAACATTCACTAGTTATTTCAAAAGGATTCTTTCGTTTCAATTTGGAAAAAAAAACGGTCACGTTTTTTTTGTTTTTTTTTTTTCACTGATTTAGTTTTTCTTCGTTTTACGTCAATATGAATATTAGTATGTTCAATCAGGAGAAGAGCAGATACTAGCCATCACCTGGAGCGCTTCAATCCAAAACAATTGCCGTCTTTGTCATTTTAGAATATAAATAATTCCAGGGATTCAATTTATATCTATTTTACCACTGGCTGTCCATCGTTCCGATATTCCCCCTCGCTATCGCTTGAGGTAAAATATGTAGCATTAAGGCCACACCCGTGGTAAAATCCATATAAATTCAAGACCTCATGAATTATTTCTTAAACATTAACCTTAATACTACTAGTATACGCCGATGGCAATTGATTAGCATTCATATGTCTTGCATTCTGCAACTTTCGGCCTAAGCGAGAAAAAAATGATTTTATTAGTACTTATTGTCACCGATATGTATGCCGTTATTATTATCGTCTAGCAAACAATGCAATTAAAGTAGATTTGAGACAATAAACACATAATATCTATTTTTTTTACATTAAAATCAATTTTGCTTAAAACACAAGTAAACGATTCGTATCCTTCCGAACTTGCATTCTCGTTTAACATTTTAATGAAAATAAGTTGTGAACGTTGAATAGTTAGTTGCCATAAGACTCTATTTGCTATGTGTCGTACACGCATCATGCGCATGAACATTTATCTTATCTTTCTACTACAATAGTGCAATTCTATAATAATTTTTCTTGCTGTTGCCTGACTGTTAAAATATTGTTACGACTGCACCCCCACCCCCCTAAATCAAAAGCAAAGTCTGAAACAAAATATGCATTTAACTTTATTTTATATCTAGGTCCAACCGTACCTTAAACATTTAAAGCTGACGGTGCCCTTTTTGTTTTTCTATATAGAAGGACATAATTTGCTTCAGTGAGTTTCTTTCAATTCGTATATTACCTTTAACTGTGTAATGGTATAGAACTCGCCTTTTAAAATATCTAATTACACGTACCTATCTACAGTGCATGCTTTGTGAACTGTACGTCGCATATAAAAACACAAGATAGCTTTGACAGAACAAATGCAGATTCACATTAATCAAACAAATTGTGAAGATATCAGTTATAAATTAAACATATATAGGTAGACGTCTCTTTCTTTGAAGGACATGATAGATACCAATGCTTTATTTATTTGTGATGTTACGTTAATTGTACTGTAGTTCAAATCATTTAATCTTAAACATGTTCCTACACAAGTAGTTTGTAAAAGTTAAAATATTTTATGCGTATTTACCTGTTAATGACACTAGAGTGATGTTATAGAAAAAAACTGTTGTAGTGCACAAAGTCTCTTTTGATCGGTAAAAAGATAAATTACTTGGAATGGAATGTATTTTCGAGATACTGAATGACTGCCGGCAGCAAAGCAATCGGACTCTTGTTTTATTCACACTGCAATATCTTGTAGAAGGAATACAAGGCCTCGTCAAGAGAGAATTTGAGCTTTTCCATAATTCACTTAAGGAAGATCTTAAAAATCATACTCAATGTCTAGGTTCTTGCAGCCAAGACGAAACAAAATCAGTAGCGAACTGGTGCCAGACCTGTGCGAGTTGGAGAACCTCAATTTTGTCAAGTCACACACTTAGCGACAAGATGACTAAAAGAACAATTTGTTGGTCAGAAATCGATTCGTCCAAATGGCCAACAGATCCGTTCGAAGTTGAAAAATGTTTTGTTCCGATATGGTATTTCGGACCAAAACGTTTGGTTTCCTCTTGTGATCACAGTGATCTTGCAATAATACTTAAGAAAATAATTAATTGTACTTACGTCTACGCTAAATTTGATAAAATTGTTAAACCACAGACAATAGTGAATATAAGAAATGATGTGACACATGCAAACTGGATTTCTAATGACCATAAAGTTGAATATTGTAAAGCAATTGGGACATTTCTGTTCCCTCACCTGGATAATCAATCAGCGAAAAAGGTATATGACAAGATTCAAATACTGGTAGAGATATCGTATAATGAGTTGATCAGTTACAACCTTATAAGTGAGGAAGAAGTTAATAAAATGCACAAAAAGATAACTTCCAAAGTAGATCGATCGAAAGTCTATATTTGGATCTTTGCCATATTATGCATATGCATTGGAGTAATGTTATTTAAGATAGATCCTTCGAACATTTTGGTCGGTTCTCCAAGTTCTGGTTCTCCAAGTTCCGGTTCTCTACAATTTACTGGTAAGTCCTTATTTTACGTCAACTGTGACAAAATAAATAGTTTATTTATAAGTCGGTTACCCTATTGATTAAAGGTTATTTTTAAACTACAATAGTATCCTCTTTAGATCAGCGATAAAAGAGGCATTTACTGCATATTCATAAACAACAGAATTGAGTCAAATTCTTTATTTTGATTCAGAACATACTAAATATTAACCAGTGTAAAAATGTAGCAAATTATAATAAAGTATCAGCATTTCGTGCGTACGTTTGGACTAATGATATCTTATACTTATTGAGATGACCTGCAGGCTGCCTATTGTAATGTCCCCGAATGTAAAACTAAATATAAAAAGAAAGGGCAATACGTGCAATAATATTATGACAATTTTTACAGACTGTTTGATTTCATATCATAGATATAAAACATTTATCTCGGGTATATGTAAAGTATCGTGTTATCTGTATATGAGTGCTTTTTTTAAGGGGGGCGAATCTGTCAACAAAACTTTTCATCCTATGACTTAACTGTTAAAATGCAATCAGCCTATCCGTACGTCCGTCCAACAAATCATCACATTGTACGCAGAAACTACTGCATGAACACAATGTCTTTATCTTTGGCTAGCAACTTGAGTGGTAAGTTGTATTGTGTGAGCGCTTTTGGAAAATTTCAGATACCTACTTATTGACTGCCGATAATTTGAATTTTCCAATATGTTGAGTGAACTCGAAAAAATGTTGTCACACATATCTTTAGTACAACTGAACAAAAATACCTTGCCAGCAGCAAGAGTGATAACAACACTCGTGAGCTTCTGTCAGACACTTATCCGATATTTTAAAATAGTAGTGTGGGTATGCTAAGAATTAGGTACATTCTTGTTTTAGTTTAATTTGAGTCTCCTTTAAACAGAATTTCATTAACTGCTCTTTAGGAAAGCTGTTCATCTAATTTTATTTGTGTATTTTTTTTTCCTTTATAGGTTGTAATCTTGGATATGGATTGCAATTTGAATTTTACCTTCAGCAACAGAGAAACTTTGTCGGGAGAAAATGGCTGATAGATGAAACATTTCATAGAATCAATGTTACGGATGCAAAAGGTGTAATTATGATTGCGGGTCCTGGATATGGAAAATCAGCATTTGTTGCCGACATAATTAAAAATAAAGACCATTGCAGACTTAAGGGATACACAATTATTTACCATATCTGTAAACGCGACGTTAAAATGCTTCAAATGCCAGAGAAATTTGTACTAAATCTAATGCAACGGATAAGTTGTTCATACCCAAGATATCAAAAACTACTAGAGGAAGTAGACACACAATGGACGGACATCAAAGGAGTCTGTATCGATGATCCTTATTATTGTTTAGACAACTTTGTCATTCATCAACTAAATGAACTGAAATCAGCATTAGGTCACAAACTTTTAATAATCGTTGATGGAATTGACCAATGCTATAGCAGCCAAATGGGGGTACAATTAGTTTCATTACTGCAGGCACGATACACTGAATTTCCAAGCTGGGTGAAGTTTTTATTAACCACAAGAAACGATTCTTCTATATTGCAACAGTTCAGTGATCTAGATCACTTTCATATTTTCCCTAGAGAAATTGAAATGAAAGACGTTTGATTGTCAGTTTTAAGTTAGAAAATTTCAAACCAATATTCAAATTGGCTAAAACAGAACATTTAAATATCGTGTTACAAATTCCTAATATTGTAGCTGTAGATTGTCTTTCTAAAATAAAATCGTATCATATATTTCATTTGGACAAGTATCATTAACTGTATCATCTTTACTGCACCAGATATCCAATACGACAATGAATATCTCATCAATGATGCAAAAGACCAAAACATTTGAAAAACTAATCCCTAAACAAACGTTGAGGAGCCGAACAAAACAAAAGGGGTCTAAAGTATAGCCAAATATAGGCACGATACAATCGCCTTTAACCAAAAACAAAATTGATATTGATTTCAACAGATTTGTGATATAAATCATTAACGTTTATCTCAAAAAGGACCATATACAATTATGGCCCGCTGAGGAGGTGAATATCCAAAATGGTCAACCCGAGTAAGGGTTATTCCACCAGTGCTTTAGCCCGAGTGTAATAACCTGTTACTCGGGTTGACCATTTTGGATATTCATCGACTCAATGGGCCATAATTGTTTTATTGTACCGAACGAACATGTTACTAGTAAAAGTAAAATATTGTAACAGATTGTCAAAATACTTACGTTAGAAAACTATTTTGTGTCTATTGACATTTCGCGTATGTACAACAAAGGTAGACTCTTTCTGTAAAATATAGATGGCCTTGAAAAGGGCCGTTCACAAGAGATATCGTCGACACAAGATGAATTTCCAACTCTTGTATGGTCTTGTTTCGTCGTCACTTGATGGACTTCTTACCTGGCCGTTGCCATATTTGTTTTTGTTTCTCTGACGTTAATAGACGTCATACTTTAAAGGGAGTCAACTATTGATCATTGAGTACGACGAGGGTTCTTCACCGGTGAATAATAGGGGTGTTCGATGGAGGCTTCAATTTGTCGGGGTTATTCACCGGGGAATAATAGGGTTGTTTGATGGAAGCTTTAATTTGTTAGCGTTATTCATCGCTCCTGCCATTTTTTGGAGAAAAAAAAAACATCGAAATTAAACTATGACACGTGATTCCGTATTAGCCAATCAAGTATTTACTATATAATGTAAGGTATAATAATATCATTTATCGACATTTTCAACTACAGCATTTATACAACATGTAAAAGAAGCATCAAAATCACCCCCCCCCCCCCCCCCCCGACCCCCCCCCCCCCCCCAAACCCCCACCCCACCCCACCCCACCCCCATTCTTTGTTTATTTGATTTGGCATTTTTAATGTTTTGTTCATAGCTACACTGACACCTCTTATATAAACAAAGCATTTGGCGTACTGAATTTTACGCCTTGTATTTGTTATCACATGGTCAATTTCACTGTTGTCAGACGGTGTATATTTTATGTCAGTTTGAACTGTTTTGAATTGGGGTTTCCAATCCTCTTCAACTTCGTATTTCATTTGGTCTATCTACTGTTTAATTTAGAATGCCAATTATGATATAAAAAGAGAAGACGTTGTATGATAGCCAATGGGCAACTCTTCACAAGAGACCAAATGATCAAGAAATTAACAACTATATAGGTCACTATACGGCTTTCAACAGTGAGCAAAGCCCATACCGCTACGTCTTATCCAGAAGAAGTGAAATGCTTAGTTTAGTTTTGAGTTTGTTTTACCGTTCATATATACGATGAAACAGTTTTCGTTTGGTATATATATATAAACAAGTCTAAATTGAAAACAACGTTCAAACCTATGATTGTGTTGGATAAAAACCGCAATTTTTATACGTGTGCATGCAAAACAAATTTCTTGTTAGATGGGTCTAAATACAGCACAAACAACATTTTCCAAAAGACCAAAAAAGTGATAAGTATATTTTAACAAAACGCATTTGACTAGCAGGTCGAACAACAAATGTTCTTAAACCCTGCTAATATATAGTGTCCAAAAATAGCAACAATCAACATTCAATCTATCTAGGCGTGGATCAGTTTGTAAATAAACTGATGCAGTTACTACATTAAATTATACAAGTGCCTAAGAATGTAACTTTAACACACTAATGAGTGTTATAAAATTAGTTGTTATATTTCATATTATTCACGCAATATTTCGCTCAACACATTACCTTCATCAGGCGCGTGCAGCCAACCAGGTAAAAGTTAACGGCTGTAAAGAAATTTTTGCAGCTCATGTTAAATGTCTAGAAAAACATTTTTGCCGCTTATTGTACATAGCAATTCGTAAATCAAAACAATTAGTTGTTTTAGTTAAATAGAATGAAGTTCAGGATTTATTCCTTTGGTTTTGGGTAGAACTGTTTTTCATCTCTCTCATTAAGTCCATCAGATTCAAGAGTACGTAGCTGATGCATCCAGAACCTTTCTCTCTGTTTTCTCCTTTGGGAGTCCCAATTTTGGTTTACCTCAATTATTTGAAAGGTGATATCTTCAAAAGTATGCCCTGTTCTTAAGAAGTGTCTCGTTATTGGACAGTTTCTTCCTTTTGTATAAAAAGACCGGTGATTGTTAAGTCTGATGTTGAATTTCGTTTCTGTTTCACCAACATACTGCAGCTTGCAAGTTCCACAAGTAAGAATATAAATACTATTTTCCGTTTTGCAATTAGATGTAACATAGATATTGTATCGCTGCTTTGTTACTGTGCTGCTGAAAGAGTGGTCAGTGTTGGCGACTTTACAGCACTTATAATTGGTTCTTCCGCATTGTTTGTTACATCCAATTTTAGAAGTCTCTTGTTTCTTTACTTTAGATGTGACAAGTATGTCTTCGAGATTTTTGGGTCTGCGATAGGCAATAACAGGAGGTGATGGAAAAAATTCTGCTAAGGAAGAGTCAATTTCGATAAAACGCCAGTGCTTGCGGATAGTAGATGAAATATTTGTCAAATCGGGATGGAAGGTGACAACAAACGGAATTATATCTGCGCGGGTCGTCTTTTCTTTGTATTCCATGAGGATATCTCGATATTTTTCTTGGGCTTTATCAAAAGCGTCTGTGATGTTTTTGCTTTTGTATCCTCTTGATTTTAGTAGTTTTTTTATTGTCCCAAACGATAGTTGAGTTTGGATTCCGAGGAGCAAATTCGCTTTAGTCTGATGGCTTGACTGTAAGGTATGCTCCTGTTTCGGGTAACAACTTTTTGGAGAAAGGAACTGGTGTTTATCAGTTTTCTTTGTGTGGAGATCAGTTGTCAGGACCCCGTTTTTTACAAATGTGATGATGTCGAGAAAAGCAATTTTCTCGCTTGAAAATTCAGATGTAAATTTAATTGAATGATGGAACTGCATGATTACAATGATCTAAGAAAGCTTGTAAATGTTCTGCAGTATTGTTATATCATCTTTTCCGCAAGTTTATTGTTTTCTGTTTGGTAATAAATTAAAAATAAAGATCCATTTTGTTACATCTTGTGATCCGTTTATTTGACAATCGCCAATGGCAGTCAGCAGGGTTTAAGAACATCAGTTGTTCGACCTGCTAGTCAAATGCGTTTTGTTAAAATATACTTTTTCACTTTTTTGGTCTTTTGGAAAATGTTGTTTGTGCTGTATTTAGACCCCTCTACCAAGAAATTTGTTTTGCATGCACACGTATAAAAATTGCGGTTTTTATCCAACGCAATCATAGGTTTGAACGTTGTCTTCAATTTAGACTTGTTTATATATACATGCAATTAATTCCATGTATATTTAAAAAGAAGCAGAATGTACCAAATTAAAGAGGGCACTACAGTAAAATTCCAAATTCCAATGCAAACAGGCATCATGACCTGGAAGTAAAAAAAAAACGAATAGGTAGACAATCGCTCACAAAACTCTAATGAAACGTGAAGATTGGTTCGCACGAATCTATCACAAACTAGTTGTTAACTTCTAGTTCATTTGCTCTCTGGTGGAGGGATGTCTCATTGGTAATCATGCATACCACATATTTTTTTTAATTTTTATATAATAGAAAAACAAAGGATATGGGGTATCCATCCATGACTTAAATCAGTACGTGCACAGTAAAAATAAACAACAAAAAACAAAAGAAATAACTTTTTTGCTTAGGATGGTTGAGCAATTCCTGGTCTACAAGTAACACCATTTGCATAACGTGTCGTAATTAAAACCTCGGTAATAAGTGGCATTCGCTGGTTTTACAATCAATGAAAGGATTTGGGGATTATTGCTAAGTTAACGAAATTGTATTTTTTCTAATCAATTCACGAAAATTGATACCTACGAAAATAAAGGAATCCACAGTAACCCAGATATGTGCTACTGGATGTATGTTGCTACAAAGATGCGGACAAAAGTGTAATAAAGATACTGAACTCCATTGTAGCTTCCAATACGGGAAGTTAGGAACAATTAAAAAAATCAAACATTATTAACCAACGGAACGAGTGAAAACAACTGTCAATTGCCTTACAATAGTTCACAAAAATGAAATTCAAATCACTTCTTTTTTCGTAAAGTTATTCTCAACCGACCCTCATTGTCAAGTTCTAGATTAAGACAAGAGCTAGGTGGAGCAGACTTAATTTTTATCTTAAGTATTCACATAGGCATCAGACCTTTAATTCAGTATAAACTTGTTATAAAACTTGATCATTTTACAAAGGTTTCCCCTTCGTTTTTAGTTTTCAGCATGTCAATCCCTAACGAAAAGGAAAAGAACCACAAGCGCCCTGTCAAATATATGTTCATATAGGGAAACTTTTTCCCTAGTTCCGACCATATTTGCAAGTAGACACCAGAGCTGTTGTACACGCAGCTTCCGATTTGCAAAGGAATGAAAGACGTACTGCAGTGTAAATTTGACAACTGTCCGACGATATTTGGAATCAGCTTGCTTTAAGTATTTAATTTGTATAGGGCTCTTTCTTATACCTTTTTCAATACTCAAAGAGTTAAGGTACACATTTTTCTTTGTCCTACTTTTATGAGAAGATCATCATATCCCTTTTTTTTTAATCTTTAAGACGTTTTTAAAGCTAAACACTCTGAAAATTACAAAATACAACATTAAACTATTGGTGGCAACAGCTCTAAACGCGAAATTCTTCAACTACCAGAACGAATGACGTCAAGAAGTAATGACAGAAAATACTGCAACATGTTACAATAGATGAAGGGCAGGAAGAAAGTATACTACCCCACAAAAATAATAATGATATGTTTAGTAGGGGACAGATATTGGTCCCCCATAAGAACTGTCCCATAGTTCATTAATGGTAGGAATCGCAACAATACCTTATTCAGACATTTGATTTCGAACGTGGCTGCAAAATTTTTACATCCCAATGAGACAACTGGACGCCTTCTTCGTAATGTGTTTGCTGTACCGATAGTCTCAGTATTTTCTTCATCTAAAAGACCCTTTACATCTCATCTAATTACAGCATTTCAAAACATTTGTTTTCATATAAGATTAATGACAATTTGTAAATTATAATGACTCATTTTCTATCAAAACAAATGATGTTCGGGTCAGTTCGATGAGGTATCGTCTTCGTAAATTTGCTGTCCATTCTGTAAAAGGATAACAGGTGGAGGCGGACTATTACTATGGTTTGCCGCTTTAAATTACGGAAAAATAATAATAAATCATATACTGAGCCAAAAAAGTTTTGCAACAAAAATATAAAATTTTACTTTAAGAACATATGATTTGAATAAAAACAAAATGGAATTATGTCAAGTCAGAAGCAACATAAATGTTTATCACTCACATTCATTAGGAATGTATTTGTATGGCGCGCAATAGGGTCAAAATGTGGAAATGAGTATAGTGTTATTCAAAATCAATTTCTCGTCAATACTCCACGTGCATCAATGACGGATTGGCAAGCACTCCAGAAGCTGCCCTTAGTCTATGCACTACTCTTGTGGCCGGAATAAATTTGTCACGTGTTGACGTAAAGCGAAGGTAGCACTCCTCCCTTGGCGTTAGGTTTTTGGGTCTACCAGATCTCGACCTATCCTGTGCAGTTCCAATTTGTCGATATCTGTTTATTGGTCTCTAAACTGTTGACCTATGCACATTAAATCGACAACACTCATTCCGGCATCAACCATTTCAATAGCTATCTGGCGGTCATTTTCGTGGAGGCCTGGTCGACGCCCCATGCATTTTTTAAAACGTTTATGTGTTTTTCTTACCAATGGTGTGTTTCTGAACGTCAGTGAAAAAATAAATTTAAAATATCATTTTAAAAGTACAGGTAAAGAAGGTAAAACACCAATTACAAGTGCAAAGCTTAAATGGCGCGAAATCAATCACCCGACTGTTTAAAATTAGAAAGTAGACTTAAAGATTATATCAATACTGTTTAATTTTTTTTTTTGTGCAAAAACGATCAAAAAAATTGAAAAAAAGTGTTGCTCAACTTTTTTGGCTCAGTATACATTATTCATAGAAATTACTTATCAGTTGTCTAACAAACTATAAAATTCCAGATTGATTTAAAACATAACTGTGAGGTTAAATCTCCCTGGAACGAAGTATACTATAGTCGATTTAGCATGTTCCTTTTAAACCGTTTCATTTCTTTTTTAATGTTGATGTATATGATTGCTTTCCTAACTGATTGTATCCAGCATTAATTCATACTATATATATTCTTACAGAAGAATTGAGTGTGTGCACTGTAATCCGTTTTATTGTATAATTCATAAATATCTAATGGGGAACATTAAAATATTGTTAAGGGAAGCTGCTGTCACAGTAAAAGTGTCATGTTAACTACCAAACACTTCGTCTTTATATCAGTAAATTACGTGGAAAATGTTAAAAAAAAAGATTGTTTCCAAGACAAGAATGATATCTATAGAAACAACACAGACCTTGGAAAATAAAATATTTCACTTAATACAAAATTGACAGCGAAAGCAACAGCAATAGCAACATGATCCATTGAAAAATAACCCACCTAGGGATGAACAGTCACGTCTCAGTCATTACAACTGAAAGGACGTGCTGGGTCAGCTCTCCTTTACCCGCTATCTACGATGTTGGTTTACTGATAGATGGATCAACGACTTACTACTTTCGATGACAGAAACCAATCCAACTCTGTACATTCTACATTGTTGTCTATGTAAATACCCGCGTCAGCATACACTACAAAACCCATTATGGATGGGGGAGTGTTATGTAGACTGACGTCCAAGGGTCTGTATCCTAGGTGTTAGATAATGGGCCGCCAGTTCACTGTCACACGAATTTGGTCCTGATAATGCTTCCTGTCATCTTTAATACTATATCCAAGACTCATCGACCAGTACTTCATCGTGGTAAGCGGGCTGCACAGCTGACCAACCTGGCCCACGAAAGCAGCCGTTGTGAAGGAAGTAGATTGCAAACCAACCAAACAACAATAGTAAAATCTAATGAATCCAGCAAAACCAAAATGGCCGCCTTGTTCCAACTTGACAACAACAAAAACATTTAAAATGCTCACCAAACGCCTTCGGGCACCAAGCCGACCGTGTGAGGGCTGTATAGCCAGTCAAGGTCATTAAACACTTCCATCATCATAGTTCCTGCTCCAATGGCGACAAACATTTTAAAGATAAACGGAAAATATGAAAAAAATGGCAAAAAACAAATAATTTAAGGGCAATAATTCTATAAGAAGTCGCCTTTCAGGCCAGCTGAGCTAAAATTGAGAAGAACCCGAAAAATAAATCACTGTGAAATTAGCTAGAAAGAACTTAACCCGAAATAAAGTATGCCCGAAAATAAATTGGTTTACATTATCATGTGAATTGTTGTCTTTTGGTCATGATGCTAAGTTACTGTATATTCATAAAAAAGTAAAATCACAAAAATACTAAATGCCGAGGAAATTCAAAACGGAAAGTCCCTAATCAAATGGCAAAATCAAAAGCTCAAACACATCAAACGAATGGATAACAACTGTCACATTCCTGACTTGGTACAGACATTTTCTAATGTAGAAAATGGTGGATTAAACTTGGTTTTATAGCTAGCTAAACATCTCACTTGTATGACAGTCGCATAAAATTCCATTATATTGACAGCGATGTGTGAACAAAACAGATGCACGCAATAATTTCTAAATTTATAGTAACCAATAAACAATCAAACAATCAATCAATCGACCATAGAGTTTTTTGCTTTTCTTTTTATGGTTTTTCTATCATTGCTTAGTATTGTATCCCCCTTTTTGAATGACAGATGAATATTCTGTCAAATTCAAGTTTACACATACTGCTATGGCAGGAAGATCATTATTATTACTAATGAACTTCAATTCCATATGTAAATAGACCAAATAATGGATGAACAATAATGCCATCAGTCAAAACATGTTTTACACATAAATTTATTATATTCTAAATATAGAAAATATCACAGACATGTTTAATAAGGAAAGTTCTAATCCTTGTATGAGACAAAAGTAAAAATGATAAATATCTTGCCGGCTGAATCCATTTCAACAGGAATATGTGTTGACAGTTTTACTACATCTATTTTTCCATATATCTATCTTCTGAGCATTAACCTGCAGGAAAATTTACTAATGTCAGAGAGACATGTACAACTTACAACTACTCTTGACAGTGGACAATGGTTGGTTACTCAAAGTATCTGAGAAATTGACATACACATACAAACTTAATGTTGATCAATTATCCATGAAATGTATGTGAAGGTTTTTTTTAGACAAATGACAACTTAGAGTGAAATAAAAATGCATCTTTAGCTGCTTTATAACAAACATTTTATACATTTACAGATCTTTTTTCCATATTTTTCATTAATTGTATTTCTAGAAGTATTATAGCTACAAGTTTCATTTTATGGCCATTTAGATGCAGATCAATGAGGTTTGTTCACTTTGCATCCATCAAACTAAATCTACTTTTGCCAATTTCACATTCTAAAAGAAAATGAGTCCATCTAGAATTTTCTACTTTGATATTTGAAATAATCCTATAAATCTAAAATGCTGAGGATTTAAATCCCCCTAAAGTTTGTTTTGTTGTCACCATGGTGTTGAACTTTGGCCTTTTCTTCAGTTCATCTTCTTTACTCAGTACAAATTTATTAGATAAGCCAGGACTCCTACAAAACAGAAAACAAAAATGTTAAGAAAGTGTTTAACTTAATTTGTTTCATCTGTGAATCAATCAACCATGACTTATGAAAATTTATATTTGTAAAAGTCTGTAAATTCAGAAATTTATGTGTGAACGAACGAACAAACGAACAATATTCATATATGTGTTATTGTGATTGTTGAACAATTTAAGGAAATGCTGCATAGACATAATGCTATCAAAATTTTAAATGCAATCTTTTATTTTGTGGAAACCTTTATCTCACTAATAATACCCCTGTTTTAAGAATTTGGTTAAGAAGAAGTTGACGAGTGATGAATTTCACACAGTAAAGCATGTTCATATGAAGCTTGATACTACATTTCAGGAAGATCTCAATTGTAGTTCCCTAAAAATTGAGACTTAAATTTCAAACATGGCCATCATATGTTACATTATATAGGTAAACAGTAAACAGGAAGTTTGAATCTGAAACATCACATGGTTTAGTATTTTTCTTATGAAGACTGATAACAAAGTTTCTGGAAGCTCAGATTTGTAGCTCCTGAGAAAAATGTGACTGATTTTATTGGACAGACAGAAATACTGAAAGACAGAGGTAAAACATTATACCCCTCCTTTAATAGAGAGGGGGCATAAAAAAAAACAACAAATAACACTCATCCGAAAAAGAAAAAAAACAAATTATAAGAATAAGGGAATTTTTTACTTTGCCTTCTTGACAGATTTTGCCAATTATAATAAATTTTGGAAATTAATGTGTGCAATTTTTATTGAAAATCACTGAATACAGGTTGAAATGTGAATTCTAATTAAAATGAATGCAAAATTTTCTGAAGGAAAAAAGCAATTGAAATTACTATTTTTTCTAACAATACAAACCTGTTAATAGTTTTTCACTTAAATAAAAACCTAACAATAATTTCTGTAACTGTAAACTGTATGGTTTTCTTGTATATTATTTTGGTTTCTTTATGTATTTAAATATCAATAGTTCTTTATTTCACCTTTATATGCTCTATCTACCATTTAGGTGTTCCTGTTAGTGTTGTGTCAAGAAAACATCAATCAATGATATTAAATTTACTTACGCCATTAAAATGTCGATGGTCCTTTCTGTATCTTTTGTTTTTCTATGATTTTTACCAAGGACTATTTGTTCTATGTTTAAACACTGAAAACAGAAGCAAAATAAATGTCAATTCATTTTAAAATAACTCAGCAAGAACATCATCTGTATCAACTTACATGAAGAATATACAAAGTATGAAGATGTGGTTTGACTGTCAATGACAAAACTCTCCACAAGAGGTCAAATGGCATATAGTAAGCTATAAATGACCCCAAAATGACAAATGTAAAGGCATGTTCCATTCTTTTGATTTTGTAGGCACCAATATTTAACTTTACTAAGACTGCTTTGGCTGTTACATTCCAGTCCTTTTGGTCTGCTGCTTAAACATTTAATACTTTTTGACTTCCAGCTCTTTCAGTCTATAGGGTACATGTGGGCTATTCCATTTTTTCTTTGTGTAATTTTGCATACCTCAATTTGTTGAACAATGAACCATGTTTAAAAATGAAACTACCCTTCTTACCCTCCCAGATAGTAGTTAATGGAATAGTCCTAATGCAGAGTATTGGACATACCCTTGTTAAGCAAAACACCTTGATATCATGCTTTTTTCATGTTCATTTTATGTTTTTTTTTCTAGTGAAATATACAAAAGACAAAACCTATATCATGAACAATGCACATTTTTTGATGGAATTTAAAATATTAAACAACATTTTAGTGAATAAAACAACAGCAGAAGTGATGATTGTATGGAGGAATGTATTATATTTGTTCAACTTTACAGTACATTACTACATTCAATGAAAATTCCTTTAATGTTGTACATTATTTGTCATTAACCTGGTAGTTGGTTTTATTCATTGAATTCTTTCACATTTTTTCATTTCAAGACTTTTACAGCGGACTAAACAGCATTAACTTTGATATTTTAAAATGCCATACTTGCACTTTGATGGGTAGTTGCCCTGTTGGCAATCACACAACCCTTCCTTATTTTATATGAAATACACTCTTAATGTCAACAAAACAGTAGCAGTACCTTTTTATAACCTCTGAGTGATTTCTCCAAATTTCCCTGTGATAGATGGACCGATGCTGTAAGCTTGTGCGTATCTGAGACCTGCTCTGAGTAGTCGCCATAAATCTCACATTTATCTGGTAAAGTGGATTTTAATATGTCTAAACCGTCCTGTAAAATAAAGAAATTATGACCTTAAACCATAAATATATGATACTGTTTGATAAGAAACAAAATTTGAAACAAACATGTACAAGGAAACCTGAAATAATATCCAACAAGAATTAAGATAAATGGAGAATGTGTCCATGGGACACAGATGATGCCCCCACTTGCATATCATATAAAGTTATAAACGGACATGACTGATGAACAGTAAAAGTGATGCTACCCAAATTTGTACTTGATCTGAGTTTTGTGGTAATAAGTATTGCATATAAGTCTCATAACTTAAGTAAGGGAACAGAAACAAAACATTCGGCAATTTTTCCATTTGTAAACAGGCATAACTATAGAATGGTAAAAGTGACATCTCAAAAATTCAAACTTGATCTGTATTTTGTGGTAATAAGCATTGTGTATAAGTTTCATAACATTTAGTTGAGGCAAACTAAAGTCAGAGAACGAAAACCAACTTTGGGATGTACGGCGGGGGCATAAAAACCAAAGAAAGTGCTTTTATTGCTGTTCATCATCTTGAAAGTCACTCTTAAGATTTTTTTATAAAAATGTTTAAAGTTCAAAAAGTACAACAATTGTGGCAATTTATAGCTTAATGTGTGGTACATACACTTGTGTTTAGTTGAGATACTAGCCATAAGGCATTACGGAACTTGTTTGAGATAACCCTCAACCCTTGCTTTATATGGCCATTGCTTTAATAGCAAAACAACACAACAAACTACAAAAATCAAGTGAAAGGTATTGGACAAAACAAATCTATACCTTTTAAAAAAGGAAAAAGGAAAGGTACAAAGGCAGGAATTGAAAACCATGTAAAAAAAAACAGAATTACCAAATCAAATTAAGCCAAACAACATTGAACTAAACACTACAAAGAACATGTCACTACAATGTAATGTCTTTCAATTCTTACAAGCTTGGTCAAATTTGATTTGGATTAATCATACAGAAATGTAATTTTAACTATTGTATTTAACTTTATGTCAACAAATACTGAATAAAACATTTTGCTTTTATTTGGTCAGCACCAAGGATCCGGAAATTTTTCCAGACAATTTCGGTCATTTTGAGATGTTTGAAAAGTTGGTGCCCCTTTTCAAATTGTCGATATCAACTTGACTATATTCATATAGCATCAACGAACATGGCGAACTTGTATTGCGGTTTCATCGCATTTACTAAGTAAATGTCTTACCATTACCATGAAGGACAGTTTAGGGAAGGCAACAGTCTAAAATTAAAATGATTTTAATGACTCAAAATAGTTAATTTCTCAGACATTGCTTATGTTTCTTTCGATTTGACAAAAGTTAAAACCGGAAGTTTGCGATATTTTAATGTACGAATAATTCCGGATTCATTTCCGGGATTTGTTTTGTTTATCAAATTGACTGGAAATCACTGGCTTTTTATGGCTTTTTTATTTTATTACCTTTAAAAGTGTTTGAATATAACAGATAATAGTTGAACTCGTTTAATTTAGCATGAAATCAATTTGCATTTTACGATTAAATATTAAATTTGCTGAAGACAATTTCAAGCATGCGTATTACATAGTAAATAAAGCACATGTGTTACTCATGAAAAAATACTTTTTTCTACGTAAATTTAGATTTAATTTATAAATCAGAATTGATGACTGTCTTTGATGAAAAGTAAATAAATAATGAATACACTTGTCAGGGAACTTTAATGTTTTAAATATATTATTCTGAGCTTGTGATCACTGTCAGGTGTGAATTAAAACCACAGGTAAAAAGTGATTAGCGATCATTAGCCAATGTTTCCCGGAGGCATTGATATAGATATTAGGAGGGCCCTCAGGATTATCAAAATACTGTAGTGGCAGTTTTATTACAGGAAAGGGATTATAAACAAAAACAAGTGATCACAAGTGCAAAATGGCGACTAAGAAATCCGATTTCAAACATTGAGTCAATGAAATGACCGAAATTACTTCTGTAAAAAAATAAAATTTGTCCTAAATCCCAATTACTCGTTTAGGACAAATACTTTCATCTTAGGACATGACTGGCAAATATGACTGTTTCCGGACCCTTGGTCAGCACATGTAGGTATATGAATTTTGTGCATAGAAATTTAAAGAACAAATGCCTAATTAAAGAATTAATGCACATCAAAATCCATAAATTAACATAACACACTACCTCTTGCCGATCTGTTCTGATAAGTAACCTAGCAAGTTCATCCTGTATTGCTATTGTCTTTTTATGCTGGGGACCATACCCTGTCTGGCACGTTACTAGACATTCATTCAGATACTTCTCAGCCAAGTCCTCAGCTTCCTCTTTGCCAGTACTGATGTAAGCCTGGGCTAGTGCTAATCCTGTGTCGACCATCTTTGTACTGCCTTCACGATAACTACAATATTGTAAAACAAAAGTGCACACGCTGAAATGTCTTGCCTTCTTTACTAACCATTGATATTATGTTGATAGTCCTAAATATAAAGCTTTACTACAACTATCACATAAACTTAACATGATCCAAGAAAATGAGATCAAGGTCATATAAACCATACGAGAAATACATGTACACCTTACAATCATTCAATACACTAAATATAGTTGACCTATTGCTTATAGTTTTTAAGAAACAGACTTAACCAAGAAAACTAAACATTGACCAATGAACCATGAAAATTAGTTCAAGGTCAGATGAACCATGCCAGACAGACATGTACAGCTTACAATCCTTCCATACAACAAATATAGTTGACCTATTACTTAAAGTTTAAGAAAAACAGACCAAAACACAAAAATGTAACACTGAGCAATGAACCGTGAAAATGAGGTCAAGGTCAAATAAAACCTGCGAGACTGACATGTACATCATAAAATATTTCCATACACCAAATATAGTTGACATATTGCATATAGTATTAGAAAAAAAGAACCAAAACTCAAAAACTTAACTTTGACCACTGAACCATGAAAATGAGGTCAAGGTTAGATGACACCTGCCAGTTGGACATGTACACCTTACAATCATTCCATACACCAAATATAGTAGACCTATTGCATACAGTATAAGAAAAACAGACCAAAACACAAAAACTTAACTATAACCACTGAACCATGAAAATGAGGTCAAGGTCAGATGATACCTGCCAGTTGGACATGTACACCTTTCAATCCTTCCATACACCAAATATAGGATACCTATTGCTTATAGTATCCTAGATATGGACTTGACCACCAAAACTAAACCTTGTTCACCGATTCATGAAATGGATGGGAAAACAAAAGTTTATTTTATCTTTATATTTATATTCAATTTGCTGATCTGTAAATTTTTCTTTTTTTATTTAGAAACCTTTAATAACTTTTCAATATAATGTTATATCCTAAATATCTGTAATTTTATACTGTATTGAGGTTTTTGTGGCAGAAATCTTTCATTTATCTTGTTCTTTATGAACAACAAACTTGCACAAGACGTCAATTGTTTGAGTAATGTAATGTGAATGAATCACTAAATGTATTATTTGTTTAAGAATAACAAGAAAACTGTATATCTATATTAGCCTGAAATAGGAATAGATTTCATTTTTGTCAATTTTTTCTAGAAATTTGTCACCTCTTACATGACATTATGTAACCGCCAGGCCAGGTTGAACTCTAAACTTACTTAGCACCAGCTATAGTATGAGACTGTAGGTAGAGGTCTGTGGCCTTGTCGTAATTTGCATATTTTCCTTTACTCAATTCTACTTATATTCGTTAAGGAAATTTATCTGCAACAGTCTGATTCATTTTTGGCGTAATTGATTTAGTTCCTGTACTATTAATGCAATGTCATATATCAGATTTCTCCTGTAATTTTTATTAATATCTCAAATTTCTACAACTTATTCATTTGATTATACCATACAATATTTTTGTTTATAATACTAAACTGACAGAGAAATGAGAGTTTCATGAGTCATTGGGAACATTTATATATATGTATCGGTGCTAAACAAAAATCTTCAACTAAATTTAGTTTTAGCCTTTTAATATGTATATGCTCTTGTTTTTATTATTTTATGTGTTTCTATATTCCCTCTGCATTTTCTTTCCATATTGTTTTTCTTTCTTCTATGTTTTGTTTTTGTTTTTGTTAATTTCTTTGTTAATTGACTGTTTATATGTATTCAGTCATATAAAAAAAAGCATTAAAATAGTGGGCTTTAAACTTATTCAAAACATAAATAAAAAGGATATTTTCCCATATTCCTGATAAATTGGAACAAGGTCCATAGAATCTGGTCCATACTGTCTCTTCATTAGGTCTAACAGCTTATCATACTGGGCTGCTGATCTGGCATGCTTTTTCTGTTTCCAGTATAATCTGTTGGATAACATTATGTAAACAATTACTATATAGCTACATATAAATGTTAGTACATGTACATAAATAAATATAAAAAGATGCAGATAAAAATCTTGATTATTTTGTAAAAGACTTAAAGTCATATGAAACTTCAAATCTAAAAAAGACAGTTGAATATGTTTTATATACTTGAATGACTACGTTTTACTAAAAAGCAAGTGCATGCGAACTTTCTTGTAAAAGAAAATCCTTAATATCATCAAAATCTTCATGAATGTACTGCTATTGAAATATTGTCTTCCCCTACAATAATTAGCTTATGTTTTTCCGTATGCAGAGACCTTAACTACGAGAACTTTCGTTTGAACTTTGGCCAATGCACAGCTCAAGTGCGAGGGGAAAACTGTGATGAAAGAATGCAAATAAATGTGCACTGCAAGGTAATTAGTAATAACTGATTCTTAAAGAACCACAAGTATTTGCAATTTAGGAAAGTGTCTAGACATGTAATATGGCTGTCAACAGTCAGTAATAAAAAAACTGCAGACTTAATTTTTCTTATTTTAATGCATTACAAACCTAGCAGTAGCATGACAGTATTTGATCTCCATCTCCTCGCATTCATCATCACTGACACATGTTAACCGACTGAAATCATGACAGGTCCTATCAGCCTTCGACAGGGCCTTCTCTGCATCAGTGTACTGTTTCATTTCGGTGAGTGCTCTCCCTTGAGTATGGTGGATTTTAAACAATATGAAGATGACATCTGCTTTCTCTTGTTCCGTTGTGTAGGTAGCAACAGTGTTTAACATTATGGTTTTGGCTGATTCTGCATGGTAGTCTGCTTGTGGGGCTAATCCTAAAATTGAAGGAACATTTTTTACATTTATATACATGTATTTCAAGGCTATTCATAATAAATTTTACCCTATATTTAATGTACTTTTAAATGCTATATAGTTGGCAATACATTGTGACAATGTTTTCCTCTTTCGCTTAATATCCATTGTGATACTCTGCAGTCTCTAAAGTCTCCCCACCTCCACCATTATCTACCATATCACTGCCTATACTTTCAATACTGACTCTTCTTCTTCTAGGTTTCAAAAAGTATAAATTTGTCACAACACAGCCAATTCCGTACCTCTATCTGGAAGGAAGTGGAGTCACCTGAAGTTAGCCGATTGAAAAAGTATACACAATTTATTACAGTTTCCTGTCGACATTAAAATTATAATACACTAATTGCAGGTCATTTATCATTTAGACATCGAGAAACAGGATCTTGGTTCATCAATATATTAGAACAAGTTCTCACAGAAAAATATGAAAAACAACACTTTGAGGAAATGCTAGTTAGTGTTTGACACATGTTAGCATGTGATCCAAAATGGCAGGAGCTTAGATCTGACCCGGACCGTAGTGAACAGAAACAGGAAGAGTTAATCTTGGAAATTTAATCATCAGATATTATATACTTCAAAAATACAGGGACACATTACATTTAACCAAGACAGTAAGAATTTGTTAATTTTCCCAAAATAACATTTATAGCAGAAAAATAAATAGATTTATCTATATATGAGTGGTAAACACCAAATGTATAGACTGACAAATAACAAGTATCACCCTCACTTCAAGAAATATATATAACAGGGTAAAACTAAAATAATGGGATCTTTGTTTGTAATCATCAGATTCAAATCTTTTTTGCTTTTTACTTTTTTAATAAAATTACTGAAAAGCAGTTTGAAATTATCTCTTTCATGGCATTCATTGTTTGGTTGTTGCTTACCAATTACCTATCAATAATCTTTTTTTAGAAAGGATAAAAGTCAGCAATCAAAGGGAGATAATTAATTGTAAAATATGTAAATATTTTGAAATATTCTGGACTCCCAATTACAAATTCAGAACAATATGATTATTAACAATTTCTGTGGTAATATCACAAAACCCTTCAATTAGAGTGGGAATATTTTTTAACAGACAAAAATATTAAAAAAACAAATATAACTCAGCTAACTTCCATTAAAAGCAACAGCAAAAAAATGTAAACCCCAGAATTATCAGACCTTTAAGATCTAGATATGCTTCGGCCAGATCAGCATGGCTTTCTGCTAACTTCCAGTGATTGGCACCATGTACAATCCTGGTAAGTGCTATGCATCGCACCAGTTCTCTGATAGCTTCATCGTGCTAAAATGTAAAATAAAAATATTTATGAAGAGAAGGGTTTGATGAAAATTATAACCATATTTTGAGCAAAAGTTTTACATTACATTATAAGTAAGCTGGTATAATATATATTTAACTTACTGTTATCTGAACAAAATTTTCTCTAAAATTCTGTTAACTTTAAAAAGATTTTATATCCAATTGATATCAACAATCCAAAGAAAAACAGGTACATTTTGCACAAGTGATATAACTAAGATTATTATACCTAACATATATTATAAACCATTTCATTGGCTAACACATTATCACGTGACATGGAATAACTCACTAAATTTTCATTTCATTGCAAGGAAGGACGAATAACCCTTAAAATTTACACCAGTAATCGTTTGAGTTTATTGATTTGTACACGAGTTATCTCCCATGAGACGCAAGTAAACAAGATGGTTACGTTCACATTACAGGAAGCCCATCAAGTGACGAGGGAACAAGGCTTTAGACATGCATCTATGGCTAGTAACGGTCACATCTGTTATAAATGGTCCTTTTAGGATCAATATTTTACGAAAAGATTCAATCTTTGTTGTACATACGAGAAATTCGAAGACACAATTTATTATTTCAAACATAAACTTGTTGTTTGTTACTATACAGTACCGTAAGTGCTTTTTCAATGGTTCAAAAGGCCCTTCCACTGTTAGTTCGGTATAATAAAACAATTGTGGCCCCTTAAAGGCGATGAATATCCAAAATTGTCAACCCTAAAAAATTATTTCACTTTGGGCTGCACCCTCAGTGAAATAACCTTCTCTAGTTGACAATTTTGGATATTCACCTTTTATAGGAGGCCTATGCATGCTTGGAAAAATGCAAAACTAATTCATTAACTCAATATTTAGAATATTTTACTTAAGTGTCATGCCTGTCTGTTGGTAATTCATGTGATATTTTCAAACCAACACAATTTGCCATAAAAATTCCTAAAATTCAAGCACAGGTAAATATTATATATATTCAGATTGGTTTATTTCCCTTTGTTCTTCCATAAACTACATGAAATAAAGTGGTGGGCATAAAAAATGATTCCCAATCTACCTTTAAATGTTTTTATAAGCTTATGAAAATAATGGTATTAATTATTTTTGGAGTGTTAAAAATTCTTTAGAGGTTATAGATAAAATACATGCTTTTGATGGTCCTTTTAATTCTGTTGACAGTTATGATTTTTCTACTCTCTAATCTACACTTCCACACAATCTTATCAAGAAAAAGTTTTCATATTTAATTAAATGGTCTTTTGAAAAATCGCATTACAAATTTATTTGCTGTAACTTGTTTAAAGCCTTTTTCTGTAACGAAAAAGGAAAGTATTCAAGATACACTTACTGGAAATGTGAAGATATGATTGAAGCTTTAAATTTTCTCCTGGACAACATATATGTATGTTTCGGCAATAAATTGTATCAACAAGTAGTAGGTATTCCTATGGGCACTAACTGCGCCCCTTTAATAGCAGATTTATTCCTGTATTGCTATGAATCTCAGTTTATGACCAAACTCAGTAAAGACACGTCATTGTTACATTTAGTTGATACATTCAACAATACCTTCCGTTATCTAGATGATATTTTTTCTTTAAATAATCCAGAGTTCTCTAAATAAACTACCGAAATTTACCCAATAGAACTTACTTTAACTAAATCTAACATAAACAGCAGTAGTTGTCCTTTTCTAGATTTGGACATTTCAATCTCTAAAGGAAAACTTCATACGAAAATTTACGACAAAAGAGACGACTTTTCATTCCCTATTGGTAATTTTCCTTTTTAGGCTTTGGCTCCATCATACGGTGTTTATATATCCCAACTCGTTCGTTATGCCCGTGTGTGTAGTGATGTCATAGATTTTAACGAACGTAATCAATGCATCACTGGTAAATTATTAAGTCAGGGATTTCGTTACCATAAATTACATAAAACTTTTACTAAATTCTTTCATAGATACAAAGATTTGATTAGTAAATTTGACTGTACTTGTAGAAAACTGATTAAAAACGGTATTTCACATCCTAAATTTTACGGTAATATTGTACTTGAAGCGCGGAAATCACTATGTGATCCGTGTAAACTCATCAACCTTTAAACAAACTTATTAGTAAAGGTTATCTTATCAATGTTGTAATTAGATCTTTGAATATAGTTTACATTGGCACTAATATCGATTTTGTCATCAGCAAATTAAAACAAAATTAAATTTGTATTCTTTTCAAACGGGATGTATAAAGACACACCCACGTTCATTTTCATCTATAAAGAGGTTAAACTCCTAACTATCCTACTGCCTGTCGATACATTTATTTTTGGCATTGCACAAGTCATGTCTTCTTTGACTGTCCATGACGTTAAAAAACTTAATACCTGGGATGTGTTTTAGTTGATTTTAGTCTCTGATGCATGATTTTTTATTATTAATTGTTTTTGGCATTTAACTAGCTGTCAGTAACTGCGAGTACTCTCAAATCGTACTTTCTTGTTTATTTGACCTGTTGATACTAATTGTAATGCTATTTTGTTATTTAATGTTATTCAGGGTTATATCTGGTCTACATGTATATACCAGCTTTGATAAGTGTTTGGTATTACTATAAATTTTCACTTCGTACTATGAACATCAAAATTATTTATTTTGTAAAAATATTTCCTTTCTCTATTTGAACTGTACATGTATACCTAACAACAAAATTATTTTCATTTACCTGTGTTTAAAGGTATTGCAAATGGCTAATATTTTTGTTCGAGCATATTGTTTTTCTTAAATTGTTTATCATTTCATAGCGGTATAATATGTTACTTTTATTATTCTTCCCTTAGTTTATTTATTTTGTATTTACATTGTATCATAGGTCAAATTTATTTGTTCAGTAAAATTGAGAATGGAAATGTGGAATGTGTCAAAGAGACAACAACCCGACCATAGAGCAGACAACAGCCGAAGGCCACCAATGGGTCTTCAATGCAGCGAGAAACTCCCGCACCCGGAGGCGTCCTTCAGCTGACCCCTAAACAAATAAGTATAATAGTTCAGTGATAATGGACGTCATACTAAACTCCAAATCATACACAGGAAACTAAAATTAAAAATGATACAAGACTAACAAAGGCCAGAGGCTCCTGACTTGGGACAGGCGCAAAAATGTGGCGGGGTTAAACATGTTTTTTGAGTGTATGTTCACTGGTGTTAATATGTCCTTTGATTGAGTCAAGCTATTTCAGTTGATATTTTATAGTGTGTCTTTCTATGTTGTGATGTTACACTATTGTTTCAGAAAAAGGGTGAAGGTTTGGTACCATTTAAACCCCCTGCATTTGTTTGCACCTGTCCTAAGTCAGGAATCTGATGTTCAGTACCGGGTAGTTGTTGTTTGTTGATGTGGTTCATAAGTGTTTCTCGTTTCTTGTTTCTTATATAGATTAGACATTTGGTTTTCCCGTTTGAATGGTTTTACACTAGTAATTTTTGGGGCCCTTTATAGCTTGCTGTTCGGTGTGAGCAAAGGCTCCATGTTGAAGACCGTACTTTGACCTATAATGGTTTACTTTTATAAATTTTGAAATGGATGGAGAGTTGTCTCATTGGCACTCATACCACATCTTCTTATATCTATTATGAGATATGTATTAAATCTTATTTAGATGCAGCAGTCCATAAATGCAATGATCACCTAGAAAAATGAAAAGAGAATATCAAAAACATACTTAACGTCCCTCATTTACACTACAGCTCGGGTGGATTTTGCTTTGTCCACCGGCCCACCATGGGAGCTACAGCTCGGGTGGATTTTGCTTTGTCCACCGGCCCACCATGGGAGTGGGCACCGGGTGGGCAAAATTTGTACCTTGTCCACTCTGCCCACCTGTAGGAGTGGGCATTCAATTTCTTTTGTTTCATCTAAAGACTTGCAAGTACAATCACTTGAAAAAAGCAGATAAGCATTTGTAATCAATATTTTTACAAAAAAGAGATTATAGCTAGAGTGGGCACGGGTGGACTGCCCACGGTGGGCCGGTGGAAAAAGCAAAATCCACACGGGCTGTTGTGTATGGTAACGTATTGACCTGTATCATGTTTATTCTGTTTATGGTTTCTTGTTATCTGGACTTGCTCACTGTTGAAGGATGTACAGTGACTTATAGTTGTTAGCTTCTTCATCATTTGATTTCTGGTGGAGAGCTGTCTCATTGGCAATCATACCTCATCTTTTCATTTCTATATAGACAGGAATGAAGCATTGTTTTTTGCAGAAACTAACTCAAAAAAAGTTATTACTTTTTCCTTTTCTCTGAATTTTCCAATCCTTTTAACTGCCATTTTTAGAAGTTTTTCAGGTGGTGTCATGTCAATACCATGACGACCATTCTTCCCAGGCTTTTTCTTTCTACTTGTTGTCCTCCCAGATCTAGCTGTGGTCATGTCATCCTCATAATCATCTTCATACCTGTAGAATAATTTGTACAGTAAAAATATCAAAATCTGAGAAGCATTATAAAAGCATCAGGGTTCTCACAAGTATGAGTCCCTGAGTAAAGGGTTTGTTATAATGTACTTGTACTCATAGTTATACTCAGAATTCAACCAATCAAAATACTGCATTTGGTGATAAAAACACAAATTTTGTACTCAGAGTACTGAGTATAGATTCATATGTTGTGACTCATTATTTTCTAAACTTGTGAGTCTAAACATGCTAAATGTCATCATTTTATCGCAAGAGTTTTTAAATCAATCTTAATTTGAAGTTATGGCTTTGCTCTTTTGTAATGTAAACCTCAATAAATTATAGGAATAACTACAGGTATGTTTCATTGTTATCTTATTTATTGTTATTCATGTACTCGCCATGGGCAAAAATTGATAGGTCTTTAGACATCCCTTTAATAACCTTATTGAGAACCGTTTGCATTCAAAGAAAACTTATGTTATAGCTTCATCAATGTCAGAGAGAGCAAAGGTGAATGGATTTCTATAGAAAAAATTTTTGGCACAACCTTTTGAGATTTTCCATAAAAGTTTTCTCATTTTATGCCCTTTCTAATTTCAGGCTTACAAATCTAATTTCTAACTTTGAGCAAAGCCTCAAAAATATTTTATGAAAGGTTTAATTCATGAAATCTGTAGTGCTGCACATTTTTTTTTAAATTACTGTTTCTACATGCAGAGTTCCTGATAAATGGTGGTCCAAAGGTTTTGACCACCAACTTTTGCAAGGACCGGAACTATTTAGTTATTTGAAAAAAAAAGATTACTGTTCTTAGATACATGTACTCACCTGTCCTCTTCATCTTCTTCAGAATCTCTGTTCAGTGATCTTTGTGAATGTTGTCGTGGTGTTCTATTGTGACCTTTGACCTCCACCATCATGGGAGCCCCTACATTCATATCATCATCAGAATCTTCTTCATGCATGTTGTTAACTTTCTACAATTATCAAATTGATATTTACATATATATTAACCATACATAAATGATTTTGGTGAAAACTGCTATTAAGAATATCCTATTTAATGTGTTCAATAAGAATGTCTGCATTTACATCATTTGTGAAAAACAGTGACCAAATGTTTCAGGGCCCAAATTCAGAATTCTAATGCAACATGGTCTGTAAAGTTCATTTTGATTGGATAACGTCAAAAATTTTCATGGCATCAATTCATAATTGATGCTATGAAAATTACACACAAGCGCAAGACAGATTTTAAATGTATGTTCTGACGTTGTTTTCTGTTAAGTTTAATTAGAATGGAGATAACAATATTGTATTTTAAGCTCGGACGGCATCAATTGGTGATTTGATGGTCGCAAATACCTGTTTACTGGCTCCAATAACGCGTCTCCAGTAAACTTAATTTGCGACCATCAAATCGACAATTGATGCCGTTGCAGCTTAAAATACAATACAGTTATCTCCTAATTGCACTAAACAATACACAAGTTTCCTTTCATGAAGTTGCATATTTCAAGATTATTTTTATTCTTGATTTCATATATTTTTGTTCAAAATACTTTTATAACTTATCTGCATAAATACGAAAGTCCATCGGGTGTACCTAACTATCGATGGGAGGTTTGAACCCGTAAATGGAAGGTCACTGACCTCAGACAACTGCTAATTTGAACCCCTGTCTTATCTCTATTTATGCCAGCATGATAAGTTCTAAAATTACACAACTTTTTCAAACCAGTTGAAGCTATATGGGGCCTTGCTCAAACAATATATAAATTGTGCATAAAACTTTTCATATGGCTGTGTTTAAACAACCATAAACACATCATACAAAGCATTTTTAACAATGTTCATTAACTTTAATTTGTCATTAAAAAATTGCTTCAATCAAAATTTTAAAATGTTCACTTTCCAAACTTTTTCCACCCTCAGCTCATTGCTGATGACCTTTATTTGATGTTCACTTTCCAAACTTTGTCCACCCTCAGCTCATTGCTGATGACCTTTATTTTTGTGACATTTGACCCAAACAGAAACTTGAAAGTTGTCTAAATGCAATCCAGAATGGACAAATAAACGATAAGATGCTTTCTTATATTATGGGTTTTTGTGCTATTAGGAATGCAGATGCTTTCTTATCTTATGGGTTTTTGTGCTATGTCCCAATTTTAATTGAAAAGACCTGCATAGTATGAATTAATATGTACGAAAACATATGATCTGACCATTATATAGTAAGATCTGAAACCTTAACAGTGGAATACAGTGGAGTCCCTGGTGTCCGCGCGGCTGGTGATATCGCGCATTATCTGATTTCGTCATATCAGCAATGTTATTAAATTTAAAACTGCAATTCAATGATTAACCATATTTAGCCAATTTCCATTAAAAAAAATACATCATCTGATAAAATTTGTTTCATTGATGTCAAATTTTATCAGATTGAAACAAATTTTGCCCCGCTTATCCTTGGCAGTTTATTTGGTTCAAATTCAACAATATTTCGTAGCATAAAATCTTTCCTTTATTCAAAATATGCAAAATAGAAGGCATGCGCAAAATCACCAGACATTTGTAGAACTCTCAAAACAGGGGTTTCCCTAATTTTGAACACCAATTGCACAAAATCTTTAGGGTGAAACCTTACATTCGGAAGATTTTATGAAATAAAAGTATGTTATGAATTTGTTTACACAAAATTATCCGATTATTTGTTATATCATGTTAATCAGTTTAATAAAGTGAAGTCAAAAGTCTTAGGTGCGCGGATACACCGGACTGCACGTATATATAAAGCTATATGTGGTGCAGATTTATCTTGATAACAATTTGTCTTTCGCTGGTCACCGACGGTGCCGAGGTGTCTACATTATTCGTACAGGAGATCCCAAACCGTTACAGTACCCAATCATATTTAGAATGTGTATTAAAAGGCATGCTGCATGTATTTCTGTAGATAGGCTTGATCAAAGTTTACCTTGTATATGAATATTTATGAATATATACGATAAACGTACAATGTAATGTGTTGGACAGAAAAAAAGGTTAATGTCTATAGGTTTGTTGATTTGTCTTACGGTCGCCATTTGTAAAAAGTCTTCAAACCAAAATTCAAAACTTATAACTATTTTCTAGATCTATATATTTTTATGATTAATATATCTTTATAAGAATTTTGTAATTATTTAATGGTATTATTTGTTACTTAAATATAATATAACTGATCATAGCAAAAATAGTACAAAACAAAATTTTGTTAGAGATTATAAATGTTTATCTTTGGCAGGTGCGCGTTTTATAAACCAGGAAAACCGAAGAGGAAAAAAAACATTTTATTGACTATACAGCCACCGGCAACGGGATGGCGAATCAGTTGGTAAGGAAGTACACCACTAATTCATGGCCCCATTGCTTTCTATGTTAAATTCCTCAATTTCAAGCAGACACAGCTCTTTTGTTTCAAGTTCAAATAAAGTGACAATCATTGCATGTCAAAGCAACACTTTATGGTGTCTTGTACTGGAAAAATCAACATACCTTTAATGGCATATCAGAAAGAACTGGTTCCCGGAACTTCGGATGTACCAAAACAGGTACTTCAGATCTGACATACAGGCAAAAAGTACCCTCTTTATAAAATTTGGTGCAGTTTTTTTAATATTCAAAATTATAAGTCAAAAAGTGTTCTACAATGATCACCAGTCATTCAGCTTTCATTTGATACCAACAATACCTAAATATTCTACATATTTTGAAAGCTACACTCATGCGTAGGAACTATTTTGTGTTAAATATGTACTACTTTCTGGTATGTGCTTTCTGGCCGGGCCGAATTAGTGGTGTTACACCTATAACAGAACCAAACTTGCTATACTGACTTCAGCATCACTTTATTTCATTCTATGATCTATTTCAAGCAATAAAAAACACATAAAGCTTATGTCCAAATACTATTTTACTAATTTTAAGCTCAAATTGGACTGGTAGTAACATATAGGTTATTCAAAGAAAACTGAATATGGATATTATAAATGGCCAATATACTTATTTTATTCTCAATATCATTGTTGTATTTAATAATTTCTGTTAGGAAAACAATGTGCTTACCAATAGTCATAATTTACCAGAGTTTGTTCATTTAATAAAAATATATTAGACCAAACCTAAGACATAATTGAGAAAATTGTCCCCCCTTTTTTCTTCAAATTGGAAAAGGGACATTTTTGGTATAAACCATACTTCTGTGGTACAACATAGATTATAAAGAGCAATTTATATATTTTTCAGCTGGATAACTTGCTAAACTGGTTCAAAATTGCATGTACAGTGAGATTTTGGAATTCTTATATGAGTATATACCAATTGCCTAGATTGTAAAAGGCTATCATAAGAAAACCAATAAAACTTGAAAAATCATAGGATTATTTGACCAAGAGCTATTTTTTTACCATAAACAAGTCATTATATACATGTTTTATTGATTGCAATCCCAAATAATGCAAAAATAAGAATTTGGAGTCAAGTCTTAACTGCATGCATGTTGTGTGACCATAAAAGGCTAAAATACCTGATTATGTCAATTTAAGAGCTGAAATTTCCCATACACAGAATTGTTCTTCAAAAAAAGATGATTAAACATGTTTACTTACATCAAATATGACTTATTTTCATTGGAATAGGTACAACTTCTAAAAATTGAATTTCTGATGATTCTCTGTAATAGGAAGTACACCACTAATTCATGGCCCCATTGCTTTCTATGTTAAATTCCTCAATTTCAAGCAGACACAGCTCTTTTGTTTCAAGTTCAAATAAAGTGACAATCATTGCATGTCAAAGCAACACTTTATGGTGTCTTGTACTGGAAAAATCAACATACCTTTAATGGCATATCAGAAAGAACTGGTTCCCGGAACTTCGGATGTACCAAAACAGGTACTTCAGATCTGACATACAGGCAAAAAGTACCCTCTTTATAAAATTTGGTGCAGTTTTTTTAATATTCAAAATTATAAGTCAAAAAGTGTTCTACAATGATCACCAGTCATTCAGCTTTCATTTGATACCAACAATACCTAAATATTCTACATATTTTGAAAGCTACACTCATGCGTAGGAACTATTTTGTGTTAAATATGTACTACTTTCTGGTATGTGCTTTCTGGCCGGGCCGAATTAGTGGTGTTACACCGTAAGGAAAAGAAGTTTCTTGTATATTATAGACAACTAAAGATCATTTGTGTACTGCACTCCTCTTTTAACTTCACACACTAGATGAATAAGTACAGAGACTGTTATACAGATTCTTACTGTTGACATAGTCACATGACTCTTTTTCTCTTCTCCAGGCTCCACATGCCACAGTGGGTGTGGATAAACATGATGAAGAAAGAACAAAGTAATTGCTTAATCAGAAAATTACTTTAAAAACTGTTTTAGAATTCAAGCTTATGTTTACAAAAGATTTTTCAAGACACTGACAATGTCAATGTGTACATGAGATCTCACAAGTTTTCATACCCTAGTTTACTACTACTAGTCCAAAATTATGGGAGCGTAGCTATAATCTGACACCCAGAAATTCCGATAGTCCGACGGTCCGATAATCTGACAGTCCGATGGTACGACACGAAGCTGTGCCGCTGCGAAGGATATGTATATCGTCTTCATATAAGATTATTAGCATACTGCCAAAACGAGAGCAGTTTTTAATCACATTCACATTTGGGTTGAATTACATAGGAGTAATGCATAGTTTTTTATCTTTTCACTTGTTCTTAAAAGAGCAATAAGTTTTGATAAAATAGGAATAGTGTCATCATCTCAAATTTTCAAGATGCATAAGATGTTTCATAGTTCATGATTTGGAATGAAATCTTAATAAATTCTGTCTATTTTTATGTCATCAAAATGATACCTTATCACTGCTCTTGTATGGCAATATTAATCGCTCGCTGTACCATGTGTACTGTCTAGTCTTTTTCTGGTTTAATTACCAAAACCTGAACTTTTGCTAATTAATGTAGTATAATATGGACCTGCAGTTTTTGTACATAAATTAGGCCGTTAGTTTTCTCGTTTGAATTGTTTTACATTGTCATTTCCGGGCCTTTTATAGCTGACTGTGCAGTATGGGATTTGCTCATTGTTGAAGGCCGTACAGTGACCTATAGTTGTTAATTTCTGTATCATTTGGTCTCTTGTGGAGAGTTGTCTCATTGGCAATCATACCACATCTTCTTTTTTATACTAAGCATTCCTAGCCATAGAATCATCACAACATGACACCAATTATGTGAAAAAGAACAGAACGACTATAGGTAATGACGTGAAGACAGTACTTATTCACACACAGCAGACAAAGCAAATAGTGGTTTAGACCGATGGCTGCAGTGCTGAAATTTTCGGGTTGGATTCTTACTCTGGGTCATAGTATGTTACATCCGGTTGCATGCAAAAAAGGGCAAAAAAAAATATTACCTTGAATTTGACAGTTGTAGGAAATTTATCCTACATTTCATTGCAGTAAAAAGTTTCTGTGACATAGACATATATCTTGGGTGTTTCAAAGCACCATTATTTTTTTTTATTCGTTGTTTCTAAAGAATATATTAGATTCTTGAGGTTACATGGTTAATTATTATATAGCTTGTACACAGAAAGAAAAAGGGTGAACATTTGATTGGTTAACTTCCAGTGATGGCTATTTACTTATATATATGCAATGAAACTTTATGTGAAATTTTGTATATAGTATACTGAACAAGCTGAACAGGACTCATGCCAAATAAACTCATCATAGTTTAAAATTTTGTATTTTCACCAGATGCACATTTCGTCTACAAAAGACTCATCGGTGACGCTCGATTTATAAAAAGTTAAAAAGGCCAAAAAAGTACGAAGTTGAAGAGCATTGAGGACAAAAAATTCCAAAAAGTTAAGCTAAGGTAATCTATTCCGGATGCAGAAAAGCCTTAGTATTTCATAAATTCAAAGTTGTAATCAGTTTATTTATAATTATGACTATATAAATGATAACTCATGCCAATACAGAAGTGCTAACTACTGGGCTAGTGATACCCTCGAGAAATAAAAACTCCACCCGTCATGGATTCCACTGTACTCTCGCAGCTCTCCTCGAGGGGTTCTTTGGATAACGGAGGAATTTACCAGTACATACATACATACATACATACATACTGATTTGCCATAATTTTCTGTGTGAAAAAATGTATCAATTTACAAACGTTCCATGTCTATATAGGCATTTTTTTCAGAGACAAGTGACTGCACGTCGGACTATTGGGCTGTCGGATTATAAGACTGTCGGACTATCGGGCTGTCGGATTATAGGACTGTCGGATTATAGGTCTGACCCCAGTCCAAATAATTGTGACGTCTTGCAAGGCTATTTTAATTTTTTGCTTTGACGCCTTCCTGCGAGGTCATAATGCCAAACTCATTTTTTCATTTGGTCTTTGAAAGAGATTTTTCTGCTTTATTAAAATGTATTAAAAATATAACAAAACGCAACAAATGTAACGGAACATAACAAAACGAAATGGAATGGAAAATGAAGAAAAGAAATCAAAGTGAAATAATATATTTGTAGCATCCGAAATTCATGGTTCAGTGATTAAAAAAGTTCACATTTTTGTAATAAGAAAAAATAAGAAGGTGTGGTATGAGTGCCAATTAGATTACTCTCCATCCAAGCCACAATGTAATTATAGTTAGCATTTATAGATTACAGTACGGCCTTATACATGGAGCCTTGGCTTTTACCAGACAGTAAGATTTAAATTAAAGGGTCCAAAATGACCAGTGTAAAACAATTCAAACAGGAAACCAACAGTCTATATAAGTAAGAAGACGTGGTTTGAGTGCCAATGGGACAACTCTCCATCCAAGTCACAATGTTTTTTAAATTAACAATTATAGGTCAAAGTACTCCCTTGAACACAGAGCCTTTGCTCACACTAAACAGCAAGATTTAAAGGGCCCCAAAATGACCACTGTAAAACAATGTAAACAGGTAAACTAACGGTCTAATCTATATACAAAACAAGAAATGACAAACACCTATGAACCACACCACCAAACGACTTAGTAGTATAAAATATGCAGCGGGTTTAAACGGTTTACTTGGAATTGATATTGATGTAAGCAGGGAAGATCATGTTGATCGTATATGTAAGATTATCTCATCTAAAATATCACTTTTGTATAAAATTAAAGTATATTTGCCTATACACACAAGACAACTATTTTATAATACATATATATTCTGCCATATATAGACTATTGTAGTTCAGTTTGGGAAAATTTTTTACAAAAAGATTCAGATAGAATCATAAAACTTCAAAAAAGAGTAGCAAGAATTATACTTGAATGTGATATTTCTGTTCCATCTAATTTTATGTTTTCTCCTTTAAAATGGCTACCTTTTACAAAAAGAATAAAATACCAACAATCAATTCTAATGTATAAAATTGTAAATGGACTAACACGTGATTACTTAGCAATGATTAATATTAATGATGTTCAACACTACAAGTTACGATCTGTCTCTAATAATGATCTATTTGTTCCAAGACCAAATACAAATTTTTATAAAAAATCTTTTCATTATTCTGCAACCAAGGTATGGAATAATTTACCACTCATAAAAAAAAAATTGTCGTAATGTGGAATTATTAAAAAAACATTGTTATAATCATTTTCTTGAAAATTCTATGCAAGTTGAATAATTTGTTTTCTTTCTTTTATGGTTAGAATATGAAAACTTAATCAAAACTTTATCAATTATTGCCATTTGTATGTTTGAATGATTGAATTGTGTATATACCAGTAATATATATTGTATTTTTATGTATGAATATTAACTGTATACATGTATTTTGTTTGAGGGCCTCAATGAAAATTAGATTAGTTCTAATTGAGTTACCCTCTTTAAATAAAGAATTTATTATTATTATTATTATTATTATTTAATAGGCTTAAGATGAATAACATTACCAAGTAATTAATGAATTAGATAAATTTGTGTTAATTTATTTTTTACTGTAACAAATAAAAAGTAGCTCTTTGGTTGTTCGCTGGCTTCCACACCAACCATAAAAAATTGAATATTTAACATGTTTAAAAAATTAGAACACATATGACATTTGACCTACAAAATAATATGAAGAATATATCAAGTTTACCTAATTATTTTTAATTGTATCTTTGTAGTATTCCCTGATATTCAAACAGGAACAAGGTGAGTGTAATTCACAAATCGTATAGTTTCACTAAGGGATGTTAACTACTCTGTTTCAAAGTAACAAGGTTTTTAAAAGACATATAAATGTGAGTACATATACAAATGATATATATTTATAAAACAGAACTGAAAAAAAGAAAAAAATGTAAGGTCTGTATGCTTATATCAGTGTTCCAGCTAGGATTTCAAAAGGGCAGGGAGCCAATGATGAAAAGGGCACTTTAGCACGATGATTGATATTTCAAAAAGGGCATGTCAAACATTGTCTTATGTTAACTGCAGGGGTTTCAGCTAGGAGTTTTGAGGGGGTTTAGTCACTTTTACGCTAGATGAAAATCAACCTTATTTTGGGTAACAGTATTAAAGGGACCATGCAAGGATGTATATTACTAGCTCAGTCTTCCCTAGAACATTTTTGATGCATGGTAGGTCTAAAGTTAAGTTGCAATGCAGAGCGCAGCGGCGTTTTGTAGAATTATTTTTATTTCATTAGTGAAATGAATTGTGCATGTCAGTTAAAATACTACACTAGATCAGCAATACAGTCGGGAACAATACCTTACATTTTCTCCAGGGACCAACCTGGATCCCAAAACTTTTTTCCAAGGGCCCAGAAGAAATTTTAAGGCCCTACCAGGGTATTTTTACTACAGGTACATATGTTCTTATAAAGGCAATAATATATGTTTGAAATGCCTAATACATGTAGCCCAGTGTTTCTGATTTATGATAGAAATAATTAATGAATTATAATAAACCACATTGAGTTTTTCAGAATTAAAATCCATTTAACCATGTCTTTTCAGACTGTTAAACTTATAATTGTAATATTGTACATAAAAAATATATAAACCAATGAAATGTAACTGTTTCTTGTTAAAGGGGTTTTTCGAATTTTCCCGCCAAAAAAGCACATGGCTTTCAACAAATGTAAATTTGTGATCATGGATTACAGCTTTAATCACTACAAAAAGTCTAAAAGTCTGAAAAGACCAGTTTTTGTCTTAATTTGCATGAACTTTTACTCGACATTCTCCAAAAGTATGACTTGTGTCTTAATTTTTCTTGACAAATTCTCATTTATATTAAATTTGTATGAAATTTACTTGACATATTCTCGACATTCTGAATATGGTCTTAAAATTTCTTGACAAATTCTTGACATTTGAATACTGTCTTGAAATTTCTCGACATATTCTCGACATTCTTATTTTTTCTCAGTATGGCTTGACATATTCTGGACATTTTGAATCGTGTCTTAAATTTACTTGACAGTTCTGAGTTTTACCAATCATGACCAATATTCATGATATAACTTTAATCTTTATTTCTCTTTATATGATATACTGTTGTTTCAAGTTGCACTTCTTTACAACAAAAATAAAAGTTGGGCATGTTAAATAATTCAAAATTTGGGTATATAAATATTTTTACAAATGCAAATATGGCTATGAAATCTAAAGTATAAAATAATTCAAATGTGGGTGTGTTGATATAAAACAATTTCAATGTGGGTTTTTAAATAATTACAAATTTTGATTCCTAAATCTTATAAATTAAATGATTCAAACCAATCATACTGTAGACATATTTCATTCTACATTCATAATATTCAATGTTGATATGGTAAATAATTATTACACCAAAATGTGGTTTATATAAATAGCAAATTATGATGATATACAAATCATTCATTTTAAAGAAGAAAAATTTGTGTAATGTCATCTGTTAGAATATATTAAGTATTACACATGGACAGGATGTTCCCCATAAAATTAAGGTATTCCACACCCCAGAGTACACGCAACTGTCAAATACAAGTTATTGCTTTACCTGTAATCAGCCATACAACTTATCAGTTGACCGACCATGCCACTACAATTTAAAAAGTTTGTTGATAGATGAAAATGAAAATCATCATTTTGATGAAAAAAAATTGAATTGAAATGGATTTTCTTCATCAAAATTATGAAGTTAATTATTTTAACATAAAAACAAATTGAATAATTCCCAAAGATTAAAAGAAAATTATTATCTACTCCAGGAACAATAACAAAAATGTATTTATAATTGGTCCCATCAATGATTTCTATAGAAATCATCGGTCTTATGAAATGGTTCTCACACAGACTTGCATAATATGGTAAACGGACAGAAAGTCACAGGACAAAAAGTCACAGGACATAAAGTCACAAATTTGATAGGACAAAAAGTCACAGGACAAAAAGTCACAAATAATTTGTTGACAATTGTTTGAATATATAAGAGAAAGAACTTGAAATATTTTCTTTTTATTACATATATTCATTTTTTTCTTTTCAGGAAGGAGTTATCACAAATATTTATTTTTGATAAAAAATTATAAAATTCAACACTCACATTTGAATAAAAAATGTTTTTGGGTTGTTCTAAAAATGAATAAGGTTTTTGAATCAAGATGGGAACAAATTCTTTGACCTAAACGAAAGCCCCCCCCCCCCCCTCTTTTTTTAGCCACACAAACCCAAAAGATGAATTGTGGGGTCCAAAAGAGATACAAGACACCTATTTTAGTAAAGCAAATTTGACTGGCAGTTTTGCGAACGGCAAAAATCTAAATGCTGTTTGTCAATACCTTTGACTAATATTCCAAGTGAAAACAATTACTTAAATGTTTAATAAAAATAAATCAAAATTAAACTACATTGGGGATTATTCAGGGTATTCCAACTTAGTTGCACCAAAAGGGTATCTTACTATACCAAATTAATCCTTGATTCTTCAAAGTTTAGTTTAGCTATAATAAAAAGGAGTATACAACAGCAATAGAATGTCATAAACAGTGCAGAATAAGTCTGTTCACATTTCAGGCTAAATTTATACTGTTGAGATAGTGTCAAGACATATTTAAGACTGTCAAGAATGTGTCGAGACATATTCAGACATTATTTAGAATGTCAAGAATATGTCGAGACATATTCAGACATTATTAAGAATGTCAAGACAGATCGAGACAAATTTAAGACAGTCAAGAATTGGTCGAGACTAATCGAGACTCTTATCAGATGATACAGGAAGTGTCGAGAAATTTTAAGACAATGTTCATACTGTCAAGACACTTGTCAAGAAAAATCAAGAACCTTATTAGACAAATTCATACTATGTCAAGAATTTTTAAAAATTATTCAGACAAATTAAGAATGTCGAGTAAAAATTCATGCAAATTCAGACAAAAACTGGTCTTTTCAGACTTTTTGACTTTTGTAGTGAATTTAATTTGGATATAGATATTCAATGAAAGGTACAGTCAAGCATTGTTTTTACTTTCTTCTGGATTAAAACTAGTTTAAAAGATCAATTTAAAAAAAACATCTTTGACATATAAACAACAGACGATCTACTGATACATCAAACACAAATTGTCATCTTTTGAGAAATATTAAAATTGAAATGCTGACTGACCGAATTTAATGAGAAAAATTATTACAATGGTCAATTATGAAGTTTAATTAACGGATTAATGACCCATCCGATGTCAATAAGCAGATTATCTGTAATCACAACTTATTACACCTGCTGTGAATGTTAATTAGCTGAGGGTCATAAACTTGTCATAAATATGAAGACAGGTAGAATAATTGTATTTTCATCAAAATATTACGGCAATAAAGGCATGGACTTACGAAAAAGGGCAGGGGGTCAGAAAAAGGGCACAGGGCGGCACTTGGTAAAGGGCGGGCGGACCACCCTGTGAAAACGACCTAGCTGGAACACTGTATATATTTTTAAGATTTAGCCATTCAAAAGTTGGCGGGAAATGATTATCTCTAGTATTTTCATACATGTAACATTAACACCTTTTTTCTTTCAAAAACTATATGAAAAGATATCAAGAATTTAATGAGATTTATAAAAGTAGGGTTTAGTAGGCAATATTTGTAATGGCGCCACATGGATAAAACCAGAGGATTCTGAATATCTAACAAAAAGTCATGGTAAATGTTAGGGACGACATCAGAAGATCGATTTCGGACAAAAAACTTAATTCAAATAGTTAGGGGGTGGGTAAAAATCGCTGCAAGTTTTGTTATCCGACATTGATTTTCCGATTGAAAAATACGGATTCAAGTTCGACCCTAACTTATGTTTGGACTTTTAAACGAAATGAATGCCATCAAATCGTACCTGAAAGCTAATTTTTGGCCGAAAGTATTGGGCCTAAATTAATCATAGTATCTATGTCTTTCAAACGCTTTATTGATTGTGAATTTTGAATGATATGAAACCATATACAGATCAACACAGATTGTTTTGGTCCACACAGCATGGTGGCATTCTAAAAACAAACTATAAAATTTTCTATGAATTGTGTTAATAATTTAATTATTAAAATGAAAACTTAAATATGAAATCAAATAAAAATTTGAAGGTTAAATAGAATTTTTTGAGATAGTAGAAAAATATGACAGTGGGTCTCATTGGGGTCTAAGTGTGACGCGGGATTGCCGATTTTTAGTAAGTGTGACACATGAAAGTCAAATTATTGTGCCGTGAAAACGGGAAATGAAGTCTAGCGGGACACAGGAAATCACAAAAAAATTAGAATTGCTTACGTTCATAGTGTAAGCGGGATACGGGAATCTGACAAAACAGTAAGCGGGATCTGGGATCAGAACCCCCAATGAGACCCCCATGACAGTGGTCAACAGACATTGAATAGAAATTACATAGAACATATCACATTCACTTCACTCATTTGGGATTGTGCTTTTCCCTCCACAGTTGGCACAAATGCACTGCCCTGTCATCACTATACATTTCAATGGACCACCATTTAGTTTAAAGCTATATATTTTATATGAAACAATGAACTGTTTTATATTCATTTTAGAAAAGAAACAAAAACAACCAAAACCATAAACCCACTATTTATACATGCCAATAGTGGACAGATGAAAAATGCAGAATCCATTCTGACTGTACATAGTGTTTATAAAATTATAATTTAACAGTGCCTTTTTTGATACACATCACTTTTTTCCAATATTTTTTAAAAGTGATGTCCAATTCAATATACAGAACAAACATACATTGTTGAGGAAAAACAGGACCCATGATTTAAAAAGTATACTCTGAAAGCATATGCCCATATTGGTCAATCAATTTTTCCCAAATTAAGTTATCATGGTTAAGATGGGGGTGGGGGGTCAATGAAAAAACTATGTGAATTAAGTTTTTTATCCTACATTGAACTTTTGATGTCGTCCCTAAAGAATTGAATTTAAAGGATGCTTATAATATTTTTTTGGTATTTTACAGCACATGAAGACAGTATTTGGAGTTGTGCTTGGAAGAAAAATGAAACAGATGGAACAGAGAATATTATAACTGGAGGAATTGATGATCTGGTCAAAATATGGAGATGGTAAATTAAAATTTAAAATTTAAAATTAGCTTTATCATATTTTGAATTACACATCTAATATATATTTTATAATTGTAAAAGAATAATACAAGGAATTTGAAATAAAGAAATGATTATATAGTATGTACTGTATATCTGGTTATTTAAGAGTCAGGTTTTGTATAATATGCATTTAAGGTGGTCCATAACACTACAGGGAGATAACTCTGTAAAAATCAGCTGAATGTTTTAATCACAGTCTATTGTTAAGGAAATGTTTAGCTTCTCAATGATCAAAATAAGTGTTTGTCAGACGGCTATATATCCAATGAAATTTTTCCAATAAAATGTGTGGTTCAAGTTTTTGGAAATTTTTGTTTTTTTGTCTGTGGGTCAAAGTAAATATTTTGTCAAAATGTTATGAAAATTGAACTAGCCGAATTAATTTTAGTCTGGTATGTTGTACCATCTTACATGAACAGTGAAATATTTGAGGATTGCATACTTCTTGTAAAAGTGTCCACTGAGATAATTTACGCATGAAAATTTCTTAATATATAAAAAGTAAAATTACAAAAATACTGAATTCCGAGGAAAATTCTGAAAGGAAAGTCCCTAATCAAATGTCAAAATCAAAAGCTCAAACACATCAAACGAATGGATAACAACTGTCATATTCCTGACTTTGTACAGGTATAAGATTGGTTAACCTTTTTATGATACTATCTTTTTCTCTTTTTTTAACAGGACAGATGGAAGATTAGATCTAAGACATGCCTTAGAAGGACATCAGCTTGGTGTTGTTTCTGTAGATATTAACAAAAATGGAACATGTATCTTTTTTAAAAATGAATAAGAAAATAAAAGGGGGGGGGGGGGGTATAAAATATATAAGGAACCAATCAAAAAGTAAAATGAAATGGACAACATCATAGCAAAAATAAAAAAAAGACAAAGAGAGGCGAAAGATGCCAGAGGGACATTCAAACAGATAAGTCGAAAAAATAACCTGACAATGCCACAGCTTAAAAAGAAAAAGACCAACAGACAAACAATAGTACATAAAACACAACATATAAAACTAAAGACTGAGCAACACAAACCCCACCAAAAACTCAGGTGATTTAGTGCTCCGTAAGGGTAAGCAGATCCTGCTATGTAAGAGATTGACATTCTGTGATCTAGACAAGGCTAACAAGCACAATATTAAGAGATCATTTAGTAGTTCAAGTTCAAAAGAAAAATATTCCTTAACATATTGACAGTGGCAGCTTCCAGTAGTTTAGACAGCCATGTACGAGTATGGGACATCATCACTGGCAAATGTATCAAAAGTATTGATGCTGGTCCAGGTAAGGTTTTATATATTTGTTTTTCTTTGACACAAAATCTCGACCTAAAGATGAAAAAAACTGAAAGCAAAGGAACAACACTTTTATTACTGTTCTTCGGTTTAAAGTTAAGTCATTGTCAGTGATGACTTCAGCAAGGAGCATAAAGTCTCACCAGCACTGTTAGTTCTAGACAACACCTGATACAAGCAGTTACAAGCACCTTTTCTGAGAGATCACTACAGATAGTGAATTTTGACAGAATATTTTGTGTACTGTAACAACTCGTGTAGAAAATCCAAATCTAGCAATGAAAGGAATTACCTTATCAAATATTAGAGAAATAAGTTATGGCAGAGATAATATTCTGTACCAAAATATTTTACAAATATACTGTGCAGGAAATATATAATTTCTTAGTCAATGAAAATGTATCTCTAAGGAAAATAACGCCAAGTCCAATAAGAGGGTAATTTTTTTTACCGGTAATGTAATCTTTTAACTTTTTCTTGCAGTGGATGCCTGGACGCTAGCATTTTCACCAGACTCCAGATTTTTAGCTACAGGTAGTCACAGTGGTAAAATTAACATATTTGGTGTGGACTCAGGGAGGAAAGAAATGACCATGGACACCAGAGGGAAATTTACACTTAGTATTGCTTATGTAGGTTTTACATTTTTTTCAGGGGAGATAATACACTCTTTAACATATACCTTACATATTTATTTTTTATTATGTAAACAGATGATAATAGCTTAAAATGAAAGAGCATGTAAAGTGACCAACTAATATAGTATGGTATCAAGAGTAATTTTGATGTAAGGATTTTATTTTATTTGCGTCGATCTTATCTGAACAGATGCTCAGTCAAATTGTTAAAAGATACATGAGCAATCAGGTTGGTTGTCTATATTTTTAAAGAATTTTCACTAAAATCTGTATGTTTTATTATTTATATTTCAGAGCCCCAATGGACAGTATATAGCATGTGGTTCTATAGATGGAATTGTAAATGTTTTTGATGTAAATAAAGGTGTACCTATCAACACATTGGAAGGTAATTTTGTTTGGTTCATACTACATGCACCATCATCATCAAACAAGTAAAATTTCTCTAGTTTATACAATAAATTATACTGGATGCAGATCTCTCTGAAAAAGATGAATACTTGCCAAAAAAAATCCAATAGGAATATACAATCAAGACTGAATTCTTTAGCATAAACTTAACATAGGGTACTGGAGCTGTTGTACCAGCCATCACTTAATCCTCATCAACAGACTATCAATAATTTGGCAAAATAATTTGCAATTATTTTTCTACCAAAAAAAATAAAAACAGTTTGACTAAAAATGTTAGAAGGGTTTTGAGTACAACTGGTATTTGCATCCAGTATTAAGTGCACAGTCAGTAGAAATAAACATCAATCTTAATCTTTTTCAAAGAATATTTCAATTTTTTAAGTAGAAATTGCAAATTTTAATGGAAAATCTTAATGGATGCGATATTAAAAGTTTAATAAGAAAATCTATATTGAAACTTGTTTGATATTGATAATGGCACTTGAATATTGGATGAGGCATAACTGTTGACATTTCCACTGATGAATGGCGAATATTTGTCTGTCCTCCAGCATATCTGCTTGATGTGTCCAACTATCCAGCATACAAACTATGTACTTTTTATACCTGAGACTACCATCCGTGCATATGTAGGCCAGTGCTTTTGACCTTGAATGATTTTTCAACAAAATTTGTTAAAAATTTCAGGTTATAAATTGTGTAGTTCTTATTGAGCTTGGACTCCAGCACCCTCAGGAAAACTTGGTTTTTAACTTCATTGGCTCCTCTGTTTGATCCTTTTGATTTGATTGATCCAAATGTTTTATTAAATAACTACCTTAATGTTTAAGCTTAAATATACCAAAATAAAGGTTAATCCCAAAATATGAATAGAGAGGTGCACTTAAACTAATATTATTAGAGTATATAATTATCCTGTTTCATATTTTTGAAAACATATACATTTAACATTTTCACTTTCAGGTCATGCCAAGCCAATCAGATCTCTTTGCTTTTCACCAGACTCACAGCTTCTTCTGACAGGGTCAGATGATAATACCATTAAAGTCTATGAAATGTAAGTGTACCAGGTTTAATCTTAATTTAAAGACGTGTATGTTATCATTATTTAAATGTAAGTTGATATTCAGTATTTATCATGTGTTTTCTATAAAAGGTCAAATTTCTTGAGATCCCCCTTTTTTTTTGCCTTCTAAAGTATTGAAATTGATCATTTATCTTTAATGCTATTTTGTTGTTTAAAATTAAAAAATGAACAGACACAAGTTTTACAATTTTGCATTGACCATGTTAGAGGACCATTTGAATGTCTTACATATGTATTTGAAATTCAAAGAAAACAAATGGAAATATTGGTTGTAGTATAAATGAGATGAAAGATACTAAAGGGATATTCAAATGCGTAAGTAGTCGAAAAACATGGGAAAAACGAAAAACAACCAAAAACAAACTGTATGAAAAAATACATAGAAAACTAGAAACTGAGCATATTTGAATTTAGGTTGTCACAATTTTACTGAATATTGAGTATTTTGTTTTTGCAGACAACATGCCATCATGGCTGGTGCCCTGTCAGGACATGGTTCATGGGTACTCAGTGTAGACTTCTGTAAAGACGACACACATTTTGTTTCAAGGTAAAGTATTTCTATACAGAATTTCTATCCTCTAATAAGTTTACAGAGTTTGGTTTTCTCATTTTCTTTCATTACATTTGATTTAATACACATAGAGGAAATATGTAGAGTTTGTTATTTATTTTATTTCCACAAATTTTGAGTAGATCTGTATTCTAAAACAGACTGAATTTTTTTCTGTGTCTGTCTTCTGTTTAGTCTCATCCTGTCTATAATACAAGTAGAAGCTATTGTTATATGTTGGGTTCTGTTGTACAACTTTTCCTCTTGTTTTTCTTACAATGTGATTTCTGTTTTACAACTTTTCCTATTGTATTTTTACAATGTGATTTCTTTTCTATAAAATTACTTACCCAATATGAACATAAAATAATGTGTTGTAGTTCTTTTCATAAAAATTAGGGGACAAGAAGCAGTTTTCTTGATTGATCAAATTCACCCCATAAATGTACTTACACTCTACTGAAAATCATAGTTTCATAAATACAGTCAAACCAGTATACTGTAAATTCAGAAATTATTGCGATGTTTTTATTATTGCGAAAAATGCGACAGGGTTATAATCGCAATAATTTAAACTCGCATTTTGAAATTTTTTATAGGAATTAAACAGGATTTTTCTCAATATCGCAAAAATTAAAATCGCATTTTAGTCTAAAATGACAAAATCGCAATAATAAATGCACGCAATAATTTCCGAACTTACAGTACATGTATAAAGCATTGTAAATGTCACCATCAGAACCAGACAAAACTGATCTTATAAGAGAAGTGACTTGAATTGAGATTCAAAATCCATAGATGATACTACAACTAAGAGATAAGAGGGTGACCTGTTAAATAGGTTTTGATGTAATAGAGATGTAGCTTTATAATCACTTATTGCAGGATGGCAATCATGTACTCTTTAATTGAATTACATTGCTAGTTAGTTAAAATTTTGCATCATCAGAAATATTTTATATAATCTAGTAATATGCTTGCTTACAGTTCATCAGATAAAACCGTAAAGATCTGGGATGCTGGATCAAGACAGTGTGTACATACATTCTATGACCATGCTGATCAGGTATATTGTAATTTCTGCCTTGCTGTTATAAGAAACAGACTTCAATGTAACAAAATTAGAATCTAATAAGGGGCGCTCACTATATTTGTGTTTTTTTTTTTTTGGTCACTGGTCAACTGTAATTAAGAAATAAATGCATCATTTATTGGGAAGCCCTGACCACTGGCAAAAAATGAGAGAACTTAGTTATGCCAAGAATTGTAGAAGAAAATCATTTGTGAAATTATCAATGCAAGTTTTTATTATTAGGAATCTAATACTGTCGCATTTTATACATACATATAAACATCACATTAATTTATGAATTTCAGTATATATCACAGCTTAGGAATTTGTGATCCTGTTCATCGCACCCATCGCCAATCAAGTTTGTTGTATAAGTTGTGAACAATTTTACCGTTGTGAGTTCAATTTATATGATATAATAAGAGAAGTATCATGACAACTCCATTTTTTATACAAAGAATCATATTTATACCCTATGTTACCAGTTGGGGTATATAGTTTTTTCACACGTCTGTCAGTCAGTATTTCTAATTTTCTAACTTGTTTTACAGGTATGGTCAGCTAAATACAGTGACGATGGATCTAAGATTGTGTCAGTGTCAGACGATAAGTCAATACAGGTTTATGAAGGACCACCTGTGTAATGTTGACACCTTTATCATTATTCATCATATTATGTCTGACAGCTTACATTTGACAATTAGATTGGTCAGAAACAATGACAGAGGCTTCTGAAATTTTAAAAAAGGGTCACAATTTCTCTTATTGAAATATACTCTAATGATTCATCTGCTGTTTTTTTTTAATATAAGAACAGGTTGATATATTTGAAAACAGAATATTTTGAATGGAATTTATTCCTGATAATAAATTTTATTTAAATGGAGGGAAACTACTATTCATGGTACTTGTTCTAACACATGGATAACATGTGGATTTCATTAAGCAGACTTGTTTCAACTGCAAGTTCAAATTAAATTGAGAGGAGAAAACAGTGCTGTTAAAATCGTTGTAAATAAAGATCATATTTTAAATAAAAGTGTCTTAAAATAGATTTTTTGTATTGAAACATGACTGTAGATGTGTGTGGTTCTCCATGGCCTGATGATACATTGTAAACTTATATAGAGTTTGAGCATTCCTGTTGAAGGTAAAAACCGAAAAGCATGTTGGATGCACAAAATTTATCAAGTGTTTAATTTCTTGTACAAATCCATCAGGAAGATAGAAATAAAGGTAAAAATCAAAAACTGAGTAAACTGCATGAACCCCAAAAGGAGAAAGATCATCATATTATTTCTAGACTAATTTCTTTTAATGCTTTCTATCAATTAATTTTAAAGTTTATCTGTGATACAATTTGTTGTGTCATTCAATCTCCAAAAATGGTTTCTTGTTTTTGCTTTCTGATTGCATGCAAATACTTTGGGTTTAAAACAGTATGTCATCCTGTGAATAATTCGCTTATGAGCAAACATCAGAAAAGAATAACTTGTAATGGTTTTTTTTTTAGTAACAACAGACAAAAGAATAATGTCAATTGGACCTGCTTTGATACTATAATTGCACTTGAATTTTTACTAGATAGTATTTTTGTTTGCTATGGAGATTCTATATATCTTCAAGTTATCGGAATTCCTATGGGTACTAGCTGTGCACCTCTGATTGCGTACCTTTTTCTGTATTGTTACAAGTTACATTTTATGACTAAAATCAGCAAAGACCTATCGAAACAACATCTGATACAAAAATTTAATAACACTTTTGTATATTTGGATGATATATTGGATCTCAATAATGATGACTTCAGTATGTACACTAAAGAGATTTATCCTGCTGAACTGACTTTAAATAAAGCAAATACTAACAAATATGGAATGCCACAGATGTCTTATGTGGAACTCTGATATTACGTTATGTTGTTCTATTATTACTTGATGATAGTTTGTCTTTACATAATATGGTTTTGACATTACGTAGTGATGTTTTGATATAACTCAATATGGAATAGTCATTACATAATGATATTTCGATATTACATGATATGGTTTTGTATTGACTTGATATAGTTTTGTCATTACTTAATATGGTTCTGTCATTACTCGATGTGGTTTCACCATTATTTAATGTGGTTATGTCATTAGGCAATGTGGTTTTAACATTACTTGATGTGTATGTGACATAACGTAATGTAGTTGTTTCATTACATGATGTGGTTTTGTTATTTCGTAATGATGATTTGCCAATTCTTTATATGGTTTTAACATTACGTAATGATGTTTCAAAATTTGACGATTTTACTCTACATGATGTGTTTGTTTCAGTATTTGATGTGGTCATTTCATTCTTTGATGTGGTCATGTCATTCTTTGATGTGGTTATCCCATTACTACTATGAGGTTAAACCACGTGAACATTTTGGAAATAATATGTTCTATTTTTAGACCAATTTCCATATGTCGTTTGTGTAATGCGCTTTGGATGAGTACCGCTATTCATTAAGTTAAAGTTCAAATTAAAGTTCAAGTTGTTGTTCATAGTTATTTGGTATGAAAAAGGGGAATAACAGACAAAATTAAGAAAAAAAGTACTAAAACATTTACAGTAATTCGGACATAAGTGGGATATCCCAAAACCACTTGCCAGTTTTTCCTTAGTTCTCAAATGGAAGCAGTATTACAATAAGTTCGTAAATGATTCCAAGGAGCACTGCTTTATGTTGGTCTTGAAGAATAACTCCTATACAAGTTTTATAACAGTTCATTGAGGTTTACAAATTTATCATGTCAAAATAGTTTAATTCGGTAATATTCAATGCAAAAAAAACCTTATATAGAAATAAAAAAAATGTGGCAGTTTGATTGCCAATGAGACAACTCTCAACCACATACCAAATGACGTAGTAGTTAACATATATGTGTGAATGTATGGTCTTTACGATTGAGCAAAATTCATACCACATAGTAAGCTTAAAAAGGTCTGGAAATGAAAAAATATAAAAACAATTCAAACTAGAAACCTAACAATCTAAATGATGAAGACGCCGACGATACTACCGACGACGGCATATAGGTTTGTTGTATCTCACTGTCGCTACATTAATGTCGCAGGTACAACACAAATCAAAAGACTTGTACTGTATTTTCAACAAATGAGACACTTTAAATCAACTCGCACTAAAGTTAAATGGAAATGGGGGGGGGGGGGACTAAGCAACAAAGCATCAATTCTATAAAGTAAGAATTCTCCGGGTTTATTTTAGCGTGTATGTTCATTTGAACATATGAATATTAAACTTTTTTTTTATTAATTGCAGTTTCTGATATACCACGCACTAATTGGAAAAAAACTTTTTGAAATATCTGTTTCACAGGTGACGACGGATAGGTATATAGTAACCACAATCCCGTCATCTTTTCCTCGAAAGTAAACTACCAAATAAAACCAAATCACTGGGTTTGTACTTTCACGAATAACACGACGGGTGCCATAAGTTGAGCAGAATCCCCTTACCCTTCCAAAGCACCCGAGATCACGCTGATGGATTTATGTTACCCAGTCATACTAATCTATTGAGTTGAGCCAATCAAAACTGTCTTTACATTTTCTTCTTATGCTGTGCTATTATACACTAGGTTAGGTTAGGGTTTAGCGCTTACATACATGTTAAACTCCGCCGCATGCACTTTCTTTAAATGCCTGCCCCAAGTCAGGAGCCTGTTCAATGGTTGTCATTGTTTCATGTGTGTCATATTTGTTTTTCGTAGATTGTTTAGCTATAAACTAGACCGTTAGTTTTCTCGTTTGAATTGCTTCACATTTTCACGTGGTGGTCTTTTGTGGCCAACTATACGGTGTGTTAAAGGCTGTTAGGTTGCCTATGATTGCTTGCATCCACTGCATTTAAACTATGGTGGATAATTTTCTCATTGGCAATCACACCACATCTAACTTTATTTCAATTTCTATGTTGTGTTTTGTATGCTGTAAAATTGTTTATCTTTTGTACGCATACCTACTTCTGAACCCTCTTTTCGGAAGCTCGAGCAAAAGCCCTTGATCCGCGATAAAAAAAAATAGAACTCATATTAGATAACTCGAATTTCAACTCTTAATCTTAATCTAAATGAGACTCAAGGGTTTACCTCGAACTCTACGTCAAAAGGTGACTCAAATTTAAAGTTTAAGTCCAATTGTAATTCGGAACTCTATCTTTAAATGTGACTCAATGTTGAACTTCGAGTTTGAGTCTCAAACTCGAAGTTCAACTCGAAATTTGGTATGTGGTTGAGAGTTGTCTCATTGGCAATCATACCACATTTCTTTATTTCTATATAAGGTTTTTTTAATGCATTAAATATTACCGAATTAAAATGTTTTGACATGATAAATTTGTAAACCTACATGAATTGTTATAAAACTTGTATAGGAGTTATTCTTTAATATCAAAATAAAAGCATCTACAGAAAAACATTTTTTCCCCCGTTAAGTGTACCGTTTAATGTACCGTCAGTCAACATTACGCTTTTACACTGACAGCAGAATTATCCGGCGAGACACAGGGTTAATAAGAATCTTTAATTTATTTATTAATTTACAGCTTCCATTTGAGAACTAAGGAAAAAACGGCAGGACCAAATGGTTTGGGATATGTCCGAATTACTGTTAATTTTTATGTACTTTTTTTCTTATTTTTGTCTGTCGTTCCTCTTTTTCATACCAAATAACTCTGAACAACAACTTGAACTTTAACTTAATGGATAGCGGTACTCATCCAAAGCGCATTACACAAACGACATATGGAAATCGGTCTAAAAATAGAACATATTTTTTCCAAAATGGTCACGTGGTTTAACCTTATAGTAGTAATGGGATAACCACATCAAAGAATGACATGACCACATCAAATACTGAAACAAACACATCATGTAGTGTACAATCGTCAAATTTTGAAACATCATTACGTAATGTTAAAGCCATATAAAGAATTGGCAAATCATCATTACGAAATAACAAAACCACATCATGTAATGAAACAACTACATTACGTTATGTCACATACACATCAAGTAATGTTAAAACCTCATTGCCTAATGACATAACCACATTAAATAATGGTGAACCCACATCGAGTAATGACAGAACCATTTTAAGTAATGACAAAACTATATCAAGTCAATACGAAACCATATCATGTAATATCGAAATATCATTATGTAATGACTATTCCATATTGAGTTATATCAAAACATCATTACGTAATGTCAAAACCATATTATGTAAAGACAAACTATCATCAAGTAATAATAGAACAACATAACGTAATATCAGAGTTCCATATAAGACAGCTGTGGCGTTCCATAAACAAAGAACACTGTCCTTTCCTTTCCTGGATCTTGATATCTACATCTTTAACAGGAAGCTTAATACTAAACTTTACAGTACACACTTGAACATAGTCTGATTAATCATCAGCATCCCCTATGTCTGACATAGGATGTCAGGCATTTATTGGGGGTCATAAACCATGGACTGATAGGGAAGTGAAATATTGCAACCTGCTGGGCCAATTAACAGGTGGTCATCCAGGTGTGTAATTTTACTGCCACAGATTGACAATTTTTGTTTCATATTTTGTACCTGCAAAGGTTCATATTTACCTTTGTTTTACAGGTGAACTTTGGATAGGAAAAATCAATAAAACAGGAAATGACATAATATGTCTTTTGTATAATAATGGAAGATTCCAATAAATTGTACATGTTCAAAAATTATATGATCTAAATCAAAAGTAAATGCAATCTTTATTTAATTATTATTCATTATTATAATGAATGCTCAAAATTATTATCAATTAAATTATATTCATTTTGTAAAAAAAAATCAAATAAAATTGCCATGGTTGAAGGTTATAAGAAAAATAACCAAATTTTATAAGATAAAGTCAAATATAAAAAAAAAACATTTACTGTTGTACAGTGTGACAAAATTTGCAATTCCAGTAATCCCTTTTTATTTAAAAATAAAATAAATCATATGAAAAATGATAAAATT